GTCATCATGGCAAAGATAAAATAAATCAGTTATTAGAGATGAGTTATTAAAACTATTATGTTTAGAAATGTGTTGAGAAAATCTGCTCTCTGTAAAACAGAAATTGGGGGTAAAAAATATTCAAGGGGCTAATAACTCTGACTTCAGCTGTATGTTTACGCCACAGATAGGGGACACCACAAAAATAATATTAGTGTGTGTGTGAACATGGGCTGGTAAATAATCGGTTCCGCTTCTTGCTTTATAATATTAAAATGTGGAAGTGATCTGCAGGACTGCACCCTCACCGCAATTACACACACACACACACACTCAAAAACTGACCAATGTTGAAGATTTTGTCATGTCAAAAGTCTTAAAATCTCACAGCAACATATATTTTCTATGGCTTATGTTGGCCTTTTGACCTTTTAATTTCCAGAAATTTCATCATAGCTGCTCGAGTGTTTTGTGATCCAATACTTCCTCTATTTTCTCCATTTATAGAAATGAGCTGACGGCATTTGTCTATTTTTTCCCTCATGTGCTCTCAAATATTAGCCTACTGTGTAGAAAACAGTCTCTCTGTCTCCCTCTGCTGGTGTGATCGGAGCTTTTTTTTTTTTGGAAAGAACTCTGTTTTATTTCCTCAGTGACTGTTTTGACACAGCAATGTACACATACTGATAACACACGAGGAATATGCACTCACTGGCCACTTTATTAGGTACACATTACTAGTAACAGGTTAGACCCCTTTTTTCCTTCAGAAATTTGTGGCACAGATTCAATAAGGTACTGGAAATATTCCTCACAGATTTTGGTCTATATTGACATGATAGCATCACATCATTGCTGCAGATTTGTCGGCTGCACATTCATGATGCGAATCTCCTATTCCACCACATCCCAAAGGTGCTCTATTGGATTGAGATCTGGTGACTGTGGAGGTCATTTTAGTACTATGAATTTATTGTCATGTTCAAGAAACCAGTCTGAGATGATTTGAGCTTTATGACATGGTGCTTTATCCTGCTGGAAGTAGCCATCAGAAGATGAGTACACTGTGGTCATAAAGGGATGGACATGGTCAGCAACAATACTCAGGTAGGCTGTGGCGTTGACAAGATGATCTGTTGGTACTAATGGGCCCAAAGTGTGCCAAGAAAATATCCCCCACACCATTACACCACCACCACCAGCCTGAACCGTTGATACAGGTTAGGATGGATCCATGTTTTCATATTGTTAATGCCAAATTCTGATGGTTGTGCGTGAAAATCCAAATAAATCAGCAGTTTCTGAAATACTCAGACCAGCTCGTACCGCCTCAACAACCATGCCACGTTCAACGTCACTTAAATCAGCTTTCTTCCCTATTCTAATGCTCGGTTTGAACTGCAGCAGATCGTCTTGACCATGTCTACATGCCTAAACAGGGCTCAACAATAAGGACTGTCTGGTGGCCCGGGGCCAGTGTGAAAGACACTTGGGACAGTAGACAGGATTGTTACTGGCCCCTATCGGCCAGTAACGTTGAGGACGTTTTTTTTTTTTTTTTTTTTTTTTTTTTGTAACGTGGTAACGCGTGGTAACAACCAGTACAGCGAAAAGATGGCAACATGGCGGCAAAATTAAACAATGAGGCTAAAAGAAAATGTCTGTTTCTAAAGTCTTAGAAGCAGACAATTACATGGTAACAAAATTAAGAAACTGAAAAAAAAAAAAAAAACTGTTGTCAGTTTGGCAAGCCATTTTTATAAAAATTATTTAGAATTGCATTAAAATACCAGCACATTTTAATACTGCTGTTTCATTAGCATAAATGTCATTAGCATTAATTAAATAATTCATTAGCATTTTGCTCATTATACATTTATTAACATATTTAAAATGTTTAAATTCTAGATTCACAGGCATAATTTTGCCATTTTTTAAAATATGTGGCTAAGAAAAAGCTATTAACTTTTTAGTTTGTTTTTTTTTTTTTTTTTTTGGTGGGGCCAGTGAAAATTTTGGCAGGGCAAGTAAAAATCTCAACCAATGGCCCGATCGGACCCGTATAAAAAATCCTTAGCGTTTAACCCTGCTAAATGCATTGAGTTGCTGCCATGTGATTGGCTGATTAGAAATTTGCTTTAATGAACTGTTGGACAGGTGTACCTAATAAAGTGGCCGGTGAGTGTATTATACATGGCTTATATTTTTACAATGTGCAGCTTATGAGCTGTGCACATCTACTGTACTGATATCGACTAGAATATTTAAACTCTTCTTGACCTTCCCTTTCCAGTGCGATGAATTGAGGTGAAGCTTTTTAGAAATCTGTCATCATAACACACAAGTGAGTCTGCAGCTCTCTCTAGTGGACGATGCTCATAATAAAGTGACAGCTTTGTTTTCTTTCTTTGTTCAAACAGGACAACATTTGCTCAGCATTCGTGTTGGTTTACCTAAAGTCAGCAGACAAAGAATCTCAATAGCCTTTTGTTACACAACAAAGGTGAAACTGAAAGAAATTTGATGCATGAAGATTCAGCTGTCACTGATAACAACGAGTAATGAATTTAATGAAGATTAAAATACGAGATTGAATAATACTATGAGCAAACAAGCCTATAAAATTTCATAGTATGTAGATGATTATTGCATGTCACTCATTACCAATAAGATTAGCGTTTGTTGCGTAAATTAAAGCAGAAATATTATTTCCTTAAAAGATTTTTAACATCAAAAAATAAGTTTAATTGTTACGTTTACATAAAAATAACTTAATGGTACTGTTCATCCCAAAGAAAATAAGACCTTCTCACTGTTTACGCACACTCAGTTGTAAATGTTTCTTGAGTTTCTTTGTTATGATGAACACAAAGCAAGAAATTTAGGTAAATGTTGGGGAAAAGCAGACATTGACATCCATATAGTAGGAATAAAACAGATGGACGTCAATGGCTGTTTTTCCCCCCTCAACATTTCTCTGAATATCTTCCTTTGTGTTCAACAGCAGAAACTCAAACAGAGATGGAAGAAATGGAGGAAATGATAACTAAACCTCTATTTTTGGGCATGAACTATGTCTTTCAGATGCTTAAATTAAATCAAAAATCATTAATCCTCAACATTCTTCTAAATATCGTCCTTTGAGTTCAACAGGAGACAGAAACTCAAACAGGTATGAAACAAATGGAGGAAATGTTTGCTAAATTTCTGTTTTTGGGGTAACCTATCTCTTTAAGATGCTTATGCTTAAATTAAACCAGAAATATTTTACACACTTACATAAAAAATTGTATAATTGAATACAAACTTGAAGGGTAGTTCATTCCAAAGTTAAGACCTTCTCACCGTTTACAAACTCTTAAGTGGTTGTAAACTTTTCGTAAGTTTCTCCATGTTAAACACAAAACAGGTAAATGTTTTCATTGACATCCTCCTGAAAAAAAAAAGCTAAAACCAGCCTAAGCTGGTTAGCTGGTTTTAGCTGGTCGACCAGCCTGGTTTGAGAGGGCATTTGGCCATTTCCAGTCTGGTCTTAGCTGGTCAGGCTGGGATATATGACCAGCTAAAACCAGCTTGACCAGTCTAGTTTGTACTGTGAGCCCAGCCAAAACCAGCTATGTCCAACTTAAACCAGGCAGGTCAATCTGGTTTTAGATGGGGATTTTCCAGCCGGACCAGCTATAAGACCATGCTGGAAATGGCTGGAAGCTAGCCTGAAAACAGCTAAAACCCATCTAAACTGGACGACCAGCTAAAACCAGCCAACCAGCCTAGGCTGGTTTAAGCGGGTTTTTTTCAGCAGTGTAGTAGGAATAAAACATACTAAATTCAATGGCTGTTTTTTCCCCCCTCAACATTCTTCTGAATATCTTCCTTTGGGTTTAACAGCAGAAAGAACTTCAAACATGGAACAAATGGAGGTAATAATAACTCAATTTCTATTTTTGGGGTGAACTATCTCTTTAAGATGCTTAAATTAAATCAGATTTTTTTTTTTACCCAATAAAAAATAAGTATAATACAAACTTCAAGGGATAGTTCACCCAAAAAAATTATACCTTCTCACTGTTTACACACACTCAACTGGTTGTAAACTTTTCTTAAGTTTACATGTTGAACAAAAAACAAAAAATGTAGGTAAATGTTGGAAAAAAGCATTGACATCCATAGTAGGAATAAAACATACCATAGAAGTCAATGGCTGTTTTTTTCCCCTCAACATTCTTCTGAATATCTTCCTTTGTGTTCAACAGCAGAAAGAAACAAACAGGTGGAACAAAAGGAGGTAATGATAGCTAAATTTCTACCTTTGGGCTGAACTATCTCTTTAAGTAGCTAAACATGCTTAAGTTAAATCTGATTTTTTATTACTTCATAAAAATAAGTATAATTGTATACAAACTAAAAAGGATTGCTCACCCAAAATCTAAACCTTCTCACCCTTTACACACACTCAAGTGGTGGTAAACTTTTCTTGAGTTTCTTAGTTATGATGAACACAAAACAAAAAATGTAGGTAAATGATGGAAAAGCAGCCATTGACATCCATAGTAGGGAAGTATGGAAGTCAATGGCTGTTTTCCCTCAACATTCTTCTGAATATCTTCCTTTGTGCTCAACAGAAGAAACTCAAACAGGTTTGGAACAAATGGAGGAAATTGGGTGAACTATCTGATTAAGATAGTAAGATAAAAACATAAATGGCGTTTTCTTATTTAACATGACAAAGCGCGCGTCTTTGACTGTATATAATAAGCTGTCATGTTATTTTCCTGCTTGAGAGTAAAGTTACATCAAACATGTTAAATATTCATAAGTAGCCTTTCACCATTGGAGCGTCACAAGTGACGTCTACGCATTTAATTCAATATTCATAACTAAATGCACGCCATTGGAAGTGACTGGTTAATATTTAAATTCACAACGTTCGCCATTGGAGGAAAGCGAACAGATATCCGCATGGCGTAATTAATATTCATGAGGCAAACGTTTGCTCGCTTCAGTAGGATTCGTCATTTCCCAAAGCGGCAGGCTTGAGCTCGGCTGAGAGAAAATCGCACAGAAACGTAGCCGGACATCACAAAATAATATGAAGATCTACTAGATTAATATTAGAAGATGCTCACATTGGAGACGTAACACGCTGTCGACCGACGACGATGGAAGACGGACTGGTTTCTGAAGACGATATATGTGAGTATTGAAAGAATGATTGTGTTGTAGTGCGGTGCGGATAGAAACTGGGGCAAGTCTGTGAAATATATTCACTAGTTAAAATATTTATCATCTCAGTGTTTGAGCTGGCTTATAAATCTAACTGTGACTACTATATTAAAACATTTATAATGTTACTACGCTGAAGAGACTCGTTTTAGGAGCTGTGTTGATCTGTCAGTTACATACAACCTGCTCTCTCGATTGTTTTCTAATATCCTTACATTTTACAATTCATCTATATAAATCTTAATAAATGGCCTAATTGTAAAAAGTTTCATTTGGAGATGTTTCTAACCACTAATTTATGTATATAAAATGCTATATAACGTTAGAGTTGAAGACAAAATGATGATGATGATGATGATGATGATGATGATATTCAAATATTTCCCAAATGCTGTTTAACAGAGTTTATTTTTCAGCACATTTTTTAACATAACATTTTTAATAACTAGTTTCTAATAACTAACTTCTTTTAGGTTAGTTATAAGAGTATAACTAGTTATTTGTGAGATGCCAAACCTGCTTTGAATCTGTATATTATTGAGAAATGGCAAAGGGAATGGGATGCAGTAACAATTTATATAAAGTGAATCTGTTTGTAAATTAAAAAAATAATTACCATTTTGAAAATAGACATGATCAGGTTGTGCAGTATATACAAGTACACCCCTAACAAATCTATCTTTTAAATTCATATTTTAATAGGCAGCTTTACAACAGTGTATTTTGCATATACATTAGATTAGTCAAATCTGGAGCTTATCTAACAAAATAACTTACGATAAGAGTCCAAAAACTAGTACACTAGTATATATGTTATAGAAAAATATAAAATACAAACTTAAAAAAAAGAGAACAAATCAAAAGAAGCCAAAAAAATGTAAAGATTTAGTTGAAATTTTGTAGGTTGTAATTTATTTTTGCAATATTTTGTTTGAATTTAAGTGTATTATCTTCCAATTTCTAAATATGTTTGGTGACTTTAACATTATTTTGAAAAAAATATATTTGTTTAATAAGTCTGTTTTGTTTAAATGCAGCAAAACACATTGCCTATATTCACTGAGAAATGCATACAAATATTCATTTTTTAAAATGTGGTGTACTTAATTATGCTGAGCACTGTATTAAATGAGGTCACTCAGGAAGTACACACTCGTATTGATTAAAAGGAGAAGAAAAACCTATATTTTGAATATTTTGACGATAAAGCATTTTTTAATATAATCTGTATTTTTAAACCATATTAAAGAGGAAGTGTTTAAAAAGGTGTCTTCTGGAGAGATATTTGAATATCTGTCATTAATCACACTAAAAATTGTATATGATTTTATTCAGTGTTGTTATTTGTGTTTTTTTTTTTTTTTTTTTGTAAAATGAATTTTTATTAAGAAATCGATATTATTGGATTTTGCATATTGTATATTTAGTTTAGGATTTGCCATAAATGTAGCCAAGACTGCTGATATGGCATTAAACATGCTGTAAATAAATAAATAAATATTTGCAAGCATGGGATGACAACCATTTTTAAGGTATACCTCGGTTTGGAATAGTCTGTTTTTAAAACCGCCAACATTTTCTGCTAAACCACTCCTACAGTATGTGTAAGATTTTTTATTTTATGTTTTGTTTTACGTTTTTTATAGGACAACAGTATGGAAAAATATCCAAAGATGCCGTTTTAAATTGTGAAGAAATCAGTGTTTTTGAAACTAATAGACAGCAGAAGTCATTACTTCATTTAAATTATTTAACCTGACGTGTTTACTGCTCCAAAAATATTTTAAATCTTTTAAAAAATAAAATATATTGTGTTCAAAGAGGAAAAAGGTTTTTGTTTTTACCCAGACATTTAAAAAGAGTATATTATAGAGCTGTGACCACAGTACCGTGAAACCATGATATTTTTATCCAAGATTATCATACACTCAGTATCTTATACTAGCCTATGCCTATTTGCAAGTCACTAGTATTCAGCTTAAAGTGCAATTAAAAGGATTAACTAGGTTACTTAGGTTAAAGTTTGGTTAATTGGGCAAGTCATTGGACAATAGTGGTTTGTTCTGTAAACAACTGAAGAAAACATCTTTTTAGGGGGCTAATAATATTGACCTGAATTATTATTTATTGTTTATTTAAAAAAGCTTTTTTACTAGCCAAACTAAAAGAATGGCCTATAACTGTGTGTATATATAGTCTAAAAGCCTTGACTGAGGTAATATAAGTTGAAAATGATACACCAAAACATTCATTCATTCATTCTCCTTCAGCTTAGTCTCTGATTTATTAGAGGTCGCCACAGCAGAATGAGCCGCCAACTAATCCAGCATTTGTTTTACGCAGCGGATGCCCTTTCAGTCGCAACCCAGTACTGGGAATTCCCCATACACACTCACACACACACTCATACACTACGGCCAATTTTGTTTACCCAATTCACCTATAGCGCATGTCTTTGGACTGTGGAGGAAACCGGAGCATCCATAGGAAACCAACACGGGGAGAACATGCAAACTCTAAACAGAAATGCCAACTGGCCCAGCAGAGACTCGAACCAGCGACCTTCTTGCTGTGAGGCGACAGTGATATCCACTGAGCCACCGTGCAGACCTACACCAAAACATTAGATATGGATATTGTTGATGCATGTTTGCTTCTCGCTGATGTTTGTACCTGTGCAAAACATATATTATTTGTCTCATCTTCTACTTTCATTTCATTCCAGTGCTTCGCTCGGAGAAGGAGTTTCATGACGCTGCAAAGAGGAACGACACGGAGAGAATGCAGGAGTTGATCAGTAGAGGAGTGGACATCAAAGTCAAAAACAAGGTGAGATCTTGCTAATTACAAGACATGGTTCATACCTTAAACATTTTGATATATTACGCACCCTTAGTCAGGATCGCAAATGTGCTTTTCATTATACATGTGACTAAAGACAACAAAAAATTCAGTCATAAGTGTACAGTTTTTAAATGTAGCTAAATGAAAGCCCAATATGCAGTTAAAGTCAGGATTTTTCACCCCCTCCGTGATTTTTTTTTCTTCTTCTTTTTTTCATATATTTCCCAAATGATGTTTAACAGAGCAAGGAATTTTTCAGAGTATTTTCTATAATATTTTTTTCTTCTGGAGAAAGTCTTACTTGTTTTATTTCAGCTAGAATAAAAGCAGTTTTAATTTTTTTAAAAAACATTTTAAAGTCAATGTTATTAGCCCCCTTCAGCAATATTGTTTTTCTATTGTTTACAGAACAAACTATCATTATACAATGATTTGCCTAATTACCCTAACTTGCCTAATTAACCTAGTTAAGCCTTTAAATGTTACTTTAAGATGAATACTGGTATAAAATAATTTATAATGCGCTTTTCTCAGTCCCAAAGTGCTAACAGGCATACAGGCAAACAAAGCAGAACAATAAAAACAGTCAAAAAATAAAATAAATAAAAAGCAATAAAATATGAATGATTCAATACAATTGGATGATAAAATAAAAAAAATAATCAATCTAAGTTAAAAGCAATGGTAAAAAGGTGAATCTTAAGAAGTTTCTTAAAACAATCCAGAGAAACAGCATTCCTGATGCTGGTGGGTAGGCCATTTCTTAACTTAGGCGCACTGTTCGAAAAAGCACGACCACCTAGAGTCTTCAGTTTACAGCGTGGCTGATACAGCAAGATTGCAGATGAGGAACGAAGACTACGGGTGGGAGTGGCCAGAGTTACCAGGTCACAAATGTAGTATCTTGAAAAACATCCAGTCAAATATTCTGTACTTTCATCATGACATATTAAACAAATCAGTTATTAGAAATGAGAAATTAAAGATTTTATGTTTAGAAATGTGTTGAAAAAAATCCTCTCTCCGTTAAACAGAAATTGGTGAAAAATATAAAGGGGTGGTAATAATTTAGGAGGGCTGATAATTCTGACTTGAGCTGTACATATTTTAGTTTTTATTTTATTTAGTTTTAATTTATTTTTTTAACAGATACAATGCTCATCAATCAACAGTAAAACTGTTAATAAGGCAGATGTTGCCCAAGAGCAAATTTTCACCTATTACCATATTTTAAAAAGGCAGATTTTAAAAATATTGGAAAGTATTCATCATGAAAAATATCACATCCACCCACAAAAAAAACATCACCTTCACAATTATAAAAAGACAGATTGTTCTGAGAAATCGCATACTAAAACATGCAATCATCAATTTTTGTTTCAACATAACCCAAACTGTATGTTTTTAATGATTGACAATTGAATAATTGATGACCTAAATGTGATTGATTGATTTTAAAAAGAGAGTGAAGGGAGTAAATAGTTTTACGCACTATAGGAGGCATTGATTTGTGGTTTTGTTTCTTGAAGCATGTAAAATAGAAAATAAAAAACTTAAAATGAAAGCATTTCTGCGAGTGTGGTGTTTGTTTGGTTCAAGCGGAGAGGGGAGCATTTAATTCCTGCCCACACAGAGAACAAATTTTAAAGCTGTTTATCCATTGTGGTTTTATTGCATTTTCATTTTGTGTATAAAAATAAAATGTGATAAAACAAAAACAAATATTTGAAGGGAAAAAAATACATTTTTATGTTGCGTGGGAGGGATAAAATTTGGCATAAATAAAGTGTTTCTTTGTTTTTTGGTTTTGAAAACAGCAAAAAAAAAATTAACATAAAAATCAATTATTCATTCATTCATTTTTCTTCGGCTTAGTCCCTTTATTCATCAGGCGTTGCCACAGTGGAATGAACCGCCAACTTATCCAGCTTTCAAATGACCTGCAATCGGAAACATTCATTCATTTTCCCTTAGCCTAGTCTCTATTTTAGAGGTCACCACAGCGGAATGAACCGCCAACTATTCTAGCATATGTTTTACACAGCGGATGATGCATTGGAAAATAATGAATTATATGTATTACTATCTGAAATCTCACACAGAATTTTAAGACATCTTAAGGCTAGATTTGGTCAAGTGATTTTTACCAGATGTCATATTAGACGTACAAGAATAACCCATGCTTATTTGCTCCAAGGTGAAAACCCTTCTCAGTGTTTGTACTGCACATTTGCCCTCACTAAAACACATTTTACTGGACTGTCCTGCTTTTAATGATTCCAGAAGCCTTTTTTTATAAAATCAACTTTCTTTAGGACATTATTAGCAAAGTGACACCAGAAAAGATTTTAGGATTTTTATCATGTCATCACACTAAAAATCTTATTTAATTTATGTGTTCATTTGTTTGTTGATTTTTAATTGTATAGTTATTATTGAAATGTTCCTGCAATGACAATAGCCTTGATTGCTGACATGACATTAAATAAAAAAAATACATTACATGTCACAGCGGATGGATGCCATTCCAGCCGCAATCCAGTACTGGCATTCACCCACACACACTCACATTCACACACACACACACACACACTATGGCCAAGTTGGTTTATTCAGTTCACCTATAGCGCATGTCAAGTGGCCCAGCCGGGACTCGAACCTGCAGCCTTCTTGCTGTGAGGCAACAGTGCTAACCACTGGGCTACCATGCCACCGAAAATAAATTATACACTGTAAAAAATGCTGGGTTCCACACAATCCCTTCATGTTGTTCTAAATGCTTTTAGTTTAATATAAAAGAACAGCTGAAGTTTGCAGTTTTAGTTTAGTTCAAAAGTAAATGCAGTTGAAGTCAAAATATGTACAAATTTAAGTTCATTAAACATAAAACAATTACATTTTCCCCTCAAAACCTTAAGAATTGGTTTGTCTCAATTCATTTTATATAAGAAGTTTGAATTAACAGAAAGTATTTTTTTTTTGTGAGTACGTTGGTACTTGTACCATGCGGATTACTAAGTCTTGTAAAGAGAAAGTATTGCTGCCATCCACCATGCCAGTTTGGACTGCCTGGAATGTGTTGTTTATCCCAGTTATGCACTAGAGTGACGGGAACACAGGATATGACCCTGTTTTTACCCCAGACGGCAGTATTTACCACTCATGATTCAGTATGGCTGTTTCATTCTTATGTGATTTTCGGTTTTGACAGATGGACCGTAAGGCACTGCACTGGGCAGCTGGAGCCGGCAGTGAACAGGCGCTGCGTTTGCTGCTAGACCACGACATGGATGTGGATGATATGGACAGCGTATGTTTCCAAAGCAATCAGTTTAGTTCAAAAGTTATGGAGTCAAAATTATTCACCCTCCTGTGAATTTCTTTTTCAAATATTTTCTAAATGATGTTTAACAGAGCAAGGAATTTTTTCACAGTATTTCCTATAATATTTTTTTCCTCTGGAGAAAGTCTTACTTGTTTTATTTCAGCTAGAATAAAAACTGTTTTTAATTTTTTTAAAACAATTTAAGGTTAATATAATAATTCCCCTTCAGCAATATTGTTGTTCGATTGTCTACCGAGCAAACCACTGTTATACCATGACTTGCCTATAAATGTCACTTTAAGCTGAATAATAGTATCTTACAAAATATCTAGTAAAATATTATGTGCTGTCATTATTATTAGAAATGAGTTATTTAAACTATTATGTTTAGAAATGTGATGAAAAACATCCTCTCTCCGTTAAACAGAAATTGGGGTAAACAATATACAGGGGGTCTAATACTTCTAATACTAATAATTCTGACTTCAACTGTATATGAGCAGTGACCATGTTCAAATTCAGGCTGAATGTGTTATGAAGTTTCATGTTGGTTTTCTGCATGAGCACAAATGGGAGGAATAATGCTATAATGCTCCACTTGATAAATCTTTAATGTGCTGCTGTTCATCCAGCATGTGTGCTGTAAAGCACTGGAGGCTGTAAACGTGTTAAACCAACAACAACAAAATGATTGAAGAGGCAATGAGTGATGCTAAAATGCAATGCTAAATATTTTTATGCAAGTAGGTAATCTTTTTTTTTTTTTTAGATGAGTAAGTAACTAATATATGTATGGTATTTTTTATTAATGATAGTAATATTTAACTTTAAATTAAAAAATATACACATTTGTAGTTAAACGTGTAAGTTTTTAAATGTTGTAAATGGATCATTTTTATTCAAATGAGTTGATTGAAGTAGACCTGCAGAGTGATGTTCCAATTTTAATAATATTTTTATTTTTTAATTTGCTTAGAGATCATAAAATTGTTCAAAAAGTGGGCACTTAATTAAAGGATTTAAAAAAATATCAATCATGAATAAAAAAAATATTAAGTATACTTTTAGAATTATTATAATTTTATATTTATCAATAACTATTATTATTATAATGTATTTATTCCATGTAGTCTGTCAAGTACTTCAGGTAAGGTTATAATTAACTGATTAATGTAATGAATGCATTTTTATTTTTAGAAAGCTATACAGAAAATTTAAATAATAAAAAAGGTAATATATATAATATAAAAATAAAATAATAAATGTCACTGCATATTCTTTTAGTTAAAGAAATAATAAACTTAATATAAGAATAAAACAAAAAAATATTAGTACATGTTCTGTTGTTTAAAGAAATAATAATCGTAATATAAAAATAAAATAAATAAATATCACTGCTTATTCTTTTGGTTAAAGAATTAATAAATGTAATATATAAAAATAAAATAAATAAATATTACTGCATATACTTTTGGTAAAAGAAATTATAAACGTAATATATAAATAAAATAAAAACTTATAAAATAATAAATATCACTGCATATTCTTTTGGTTAAAGTAATAATAATCGTAATATAAAAATAAAATATATAAATATCCCGGCATATTCTTTTGGTTAAAAAAATAACAAACTTAATATAAAAATAAAATAATAAATATCACCGCATATTCTTTTGGTTAAAGAAATAATAAACTTAATATAAAAATAAAATAAATATTACTGCATATACTTTTGGTTAAAGAAATAACAAACGTAATGTAAAAATAAAATAAATAAATATTACTACATATACTTTTGGTTAAAGAAATAATAAACGTAATATATAAATAAAATAAAAACTTATAAAATAATAAATATCACTGCATATTCTTTTGGTTAAAGAATTAATAAACGTAATATAAAAAAAATTATAAAACAAGAAATATCACTGCATAGTCATTTGGTTAAAGAAATAAAAAACTTAATATAAAAATAAAATAAAAGATAATCAAATGATAAACTTAACTGTATATTCTTTTGGTTAAAGAAATAATAAATGTAACAACATAAAAAATTGTAAAATAATACATTTCACTGCATATTATTTTGCCAATTTCTTTTTGTTATTTATTAAAAAGAATACACCATTTAATCAATATGTATGTTAGTTGTTCAAACCATTGTCCTCATCATTGCTAGAATAACTTAAGCAGAACTGGAATATCATAATTGTAAAATAATGTTGGGACTAACACACTCATGCGTGTTCTTTGAAAACATTTGACTGAATACATTGGGACTCATTTATTTTCTAGTTTGGTATGAACGCTCTGCTCCTGGCTGCATGGTTTGGTCACCTGACTATCCTGAAGATCCTCGTCTCAACCGGAGCAAAGCTCACCACTGAAAACAAAGTAAGTTTTTGATCCCCTATAAACCAGTCATACAATCAGAGCACGGATGGCTGTGCTCTTAACGAATATCGTTCTGATGTCTTTTATGGCCTTTAAACACACCAGCCAAAACGATTGAGCTGGATGTTCGTACTGTCCTAGATTCAGACTTCAACATCATTTAAATGCATTTCACTAACTGAGCCATCTCTCTTTTTCGTCTACAGAATGGCTTGAATCTCCTGCACTGTGCTGCCCAGAGGGGTCACATCACCATTCTGGAGTATATCATGGAGGATCTGGAAAATGTGCAGCTTAATAAAGTCGAAAACGTGAGAATTTCTGCTTTTTTTGTAACCTCAGTTTTTTAATGTACAGTTAAAGCCAAAATCATTAGCCCTCCTGTGAAGTCTGAGTTCTTTTTCAAATATTTCCCAAGTGTTGTTTAACGGAGAAAATATTGTTTTTAGATGCTTTTAAAACAACTAATTTCTTTTATTTTTTAATATTTTAATATCTTAATTACTTTACACCTAAATAATACAGAAGTCAAAAAAAAAAAAAAAAAACGTCTCGGTGTTTTACATCAGTATGTATGACGTCTCTTTTTATTCATCAATGAGCACATTTCCAACTCCACCACATTTTAGCAACAGTTTGAGAGGTCCCCAAACTCCCTCAAAGATCTTGTATTTATCTCTCAATATATAGGTTATGTTTTCCATTGCCATGTTTGTAACTAGGGATGCAACGATTAACCGATTTTACTATTGACCACGCTTTAATTTGTCACGGTTAATCAATCGTAAAGGCTTCTCAACACTGTGTTTCTGCATGGAGAAAAACTGCTGCAACTTAACAAAGTTATGCCAACTGAGTGCTAGTTTGAAGTTCCGAGCTTGTACTCCATGCACACTGGATTAACTATGGCTGAAGCTATTAACTAAGAGCCAGTCACATATCGCGTCTTTTGCACGTGCAAGTTTGTTATTACCAATGGAGGCGCATGACTTGCTTATATGGAGTGACGGATTCGTTCTTTCTAGAAGCACCTACTAGTTGAAGAATGCCGCAAGCGCTCTACACTGAGAAAAAAAATACAAAATGAAAAATACCAAACAATTTTGTTATATAGTTGATCAAAAGTTTCAGCAGCCTTTGAATACAATTCTTCACTGTAAAAGAGCAACACTTAGCTATTATGTAACTTTAGATTTACATTAGACAAATATTACTTATTTATTTAATCATTTATTTATTGATTTTGAATTTTATTTATTTCTTTAAATTTTATTTATTTATTATTTAAATGTATAAAAAATATTTTTAATTAATTTATTAATTTATTTCAAATCCATTTATTTTCTTTTTTAAATTTCATACATTTTTATTTATTTATTTAAATTTTATTTTAATTCATTTACATTTAATTAATTAATTTATTTTAATGTTTAAAAATGTAAATTAATAAAAAATATATTTATTTATTGTAATTTATTTTTTTTATTTAAAATTAATACATTTTTATTTATTAAAAATGTATTTATTTAAATTTTATTAATTTATTAATTTTATTTATTTATTGACATTTATTTTCAGTGTTAAAATTATTACTTATGTTTAAATGTCAAAAGTCTTTTAACTTATTTTTAAATATTAACAGGTTTATTTGGATTGATTGGGGGGATTTTGTGAAGGAGTGAATCTAGAATAATGTATAACAAATAAATTATAAGCATAGATTAATAAAATACAGATAAAAGTGAATTATAGTTTTCAGGTATTCACAATTCAGGTACAGAAATTGAATAATCAGCACTGGATAGTCACTGCATATTATAATTTAATCTGTATAAAAAGATAAAAAAGTGTTGACTAAAGATAAGCATAAAAGTGTTCTGTGTTTAAGATGTTTAAGTGGGATGCTGTAACACTAAAGTGAGACAGGTGTAATGTGTGTGACAGATCAAGGATGAGGCAGGAATCAATTCTCTATTTATGCTTTTTTACTTAACGGTTGAAATAAACATGTACAATTATTATCTTTAAACAAAAACATTGAGTGTAAGCCAAATCAAAGAAATTAACAAAACAAAGCAATCCTTGGGCTCTATGTTGACGATCCATGCGCAGAACGCAAAACCCGTCAGAACGCATTTTTGCTAATTTAAGGACGAGAAAATCCGCTTTGCGCCGTGGCGCATGGTCTAAAAGGGTTGAGTTTATTTTCTTAATGAGTTATAGGTGTGTTTTGAGAATAAACCAATTAGAGTCTCATCTCTCATTCCCTTTAAGAGCCAGCTGCGTCTCGCCATAAGCGCATTGCTATTAACATGACGTAAAGTAAGTTCACTTTCGCTTTTGCTCTCGTGGATAGGGAAACCTTACCGCACAGACATCAATTAGCCAATAAATAATTAATTTCGTTTGTTAAGCGCAAAGATTTGTTTCAAAACTATTCAGTTCTAATTTCCAACAAACAAATAAATGAACAATAATTACCAAGTGTGGTCAAAATACTAAGTTATTTCCAAATACACCTGCTATGCCCCATATGGTCTAAAACCTGACAGGTGGGCAAATCTAAGCTTGTTTTTAATAAAACAAATATAAATATGGATATAATAAATAATACTGCTAATAATAATAACATTATACAAAAGCAAATTGAATGAAATGAAAAAGCCTCCCGAGATGAAGAAAGTAAGGCTGTGGTTTTTAAATTCATGTAGGCTAGAAATTAATATGTTTTGTAATATTTTTATCATTTATATTTATATCCTATATATATATCCTTATTATATATATATATATATATATATATATATATATATATATATATATATATATATATATATATATATATATATCCTTAATATTTAAATTATTTTTCATATGTAAAGATATTTGCATATTGCTTTACATCTTGTGTGTAGTGTGTAAGCCAGGCACACTTTGCGCCAGACAATAGACCGACTTTGTTCTGGTCTAAAGATCAGACTATTTACAGTTTCTCAAAATAGCAACGCGCCAAAACACGCCTGCTTTTTTAGACCAGAACGCCTATGGGCGCACATATGAGCGCAAATTCATTTGCTATTTAAACAGTGTAGCGCAACACCTCAAAATGACCCTTGCGCCGAGCTGAAAGTAGCAAAAGACTATTGCGCTGCACCTTGCGCCACATTGCGCCGGGTGTATGATAGGCCCCCTTAAATCTAAAGTCTGAACTAGGCGACAAAAAGATGATGACAGAATTTTCAGTTTTAGGTGAACTGTAGCTCTGCAGTAAAGCTTTTTCTAATGTAGATCATTATGTCCTTTCTAACGTGTCTCTGTCTGCTGTGTCAGTCAGGCAAGACAGCATTTCATCTGGCCGCAGAGCATGGACACCTGGAGGTGGTGGAGTTTCTCATTGGCATGGGCTGTGCTCATAACCTCAAAGACAAGGTGAGGGACGGCAAGAGTCACCTGTGCACAGACGCCTCTCAGTGGGTGCTAATTAGATTTCACTACGTGAGACATTCTAAAAATGTGCATAATAAATGTATGAGCTCAACATTTTTAGAATGCCTTGCGCCACATTGCGCCGGGTGTATGATAGGGCCCGAGATGTCACAGTGGTGGTACCTTTTCAAAAGGTACAGATTTGTACCTATTAGGACAAAATTAAACTTTATTGACTAATCTAACAAAAACTAACACCTAACACAAACACACATTCATACAAGCATAGGGAAGAGTAACTAACGTGAGGTAAGAGGTTGAGAAGGTGTAATGATGGGAAAACCTCGGAGTTTGTAAGCACAAACCAAGCAAACCAAACGTCATCAAATTCAATATAACCCTTCTATTGTCTCTTTAGGGTTGAATTTAGTTCACACCAGTTTAGATGTTGGGAGAAAGGTGATACTTGCGGTCTGTTCGTGATGTCCGAGCTCCCATTGTTGAGCACGTGGTTGGTTGGCTGATCCTTTGTTCTCACGAGGGTTGTAGTGGGGATGTCGGTGTTTTAAGCTGAAGCATCCAAAGGATTCTAGGCAGTGAAATGTCAGAGCGCGGTGCGATTAACCCTTTCCGTCTGTGTTTCCGCCTGATTTCTTGAAGGTTTCAATACTTAGGTTTGTGAGGAAGTTGCAGAGAGTTTGTAGAAGGTTTCAAAACAACGTGTTTCCAGAGCAGAGAGATGTGGAGTTGCCATGGAGTTGCGGTTCAAAGAGAGACGGGGAGAGAGAGGTTGAACAGAACGGGTGCGAAGAGAGTTTGAACAGAGGGGGGTGCGAAGAGAGAGAGAGTTTAGCTTGGTCCTAAACTTTATAGGGCGGGTTCGGATCCACCCTCCATGGAAAGTTGACCAATTAGAAGCTAACTTCCTGGAATAATAATTTTACTGCTCTTTGTCAGAGTCAGAAGAATTTGCATAGGCAAATTTTATGCAAATCGGGACAGAAATGTTAAAGTCTCTTATACGTTAATATTTTGCACTCATGTTAAAATATAATGTCAACGATCGATTTGTACAGCGAGTAAGCTTTTCAAAAAGTCCAAACTTGAACAGTATAAGAGGTTGTTTAGCTTAGGTACAGTTAAACATTATATGCAGGGGTATTAAAACCAAAAATATTAATAGAAGAGAAAGGGAAACTTTGCAAAACATATGATTAAACAAAGAGAGTAAAGTTTATATGAAAACATCAGCCTTAGACAAGCAGCTTAAAAAGTCCTAAACCTGTTTTTGTTTAATGCTGCATGGCACATTCCTTTTGGGTCGTAAATACCTTGGAATCAGGTTTCGAGTCTTCTCTGGGCAAAGTTGGCTCGGTTGTGGAATAAAAAGCAAAATAATTATGTGTCTGGTCGGCCATATTTATTACATTCGTACCTAAAAAGTACAAAAGTGTTCCTCTTAAAATTTTTAGGTACTAATATATGCTTTTGAGGTACCAATATGGCCCCATTAAGTACAAATGTGTACCATTTGAAAAGGTACAACCCCAGTGACAGCTCGAGTACCTTTATTTCTGAGAGTGTAGTGTATGAGAGTGTGTGTGAATGTGAGAGTGTATGGGTGTTTCCCAGTACTGGGTTGCATCTGGAAGGGCATCCGCTGCGTTAAACATAGTTGGTGGTTCATTCCGATGGGACTAACCTGAAGAAAAATGAATGAATGAATTAATGACTACAGCTATTTGAAAATGTGAAATCTGATGGTTCAAAACAAACAAATACTAAGAAAATTTGTCTAAATTAAGTTCTTATCAATGCACATCACTTATCAAAAATTGAGTTTTGATTTATGTACAGTAGAAAACGTGAAAAATGTCTTCATGGAGCATGATTAATCTGATGGTTCAAAACAAACAAATACTAAGAAAATTTGTCTAAATTAAGTTCTTATCAATGCACATCACTTATCAAAAATTGAGTTTTGATTTATGTACAGTAGAAAACGTGAAAAATGTCTTCATGGAGCATGATCTTTTCTTAATGTCATGAATGATTTTTAGCATAAAAGAAAAATCAATCGTTTCAATAATAAATCAATAATTAATATTTTACATTACTGTGGTGGTTGGGGTTAGGATTAGGGTAGGGGTAGACTGTAAAAATACAATCTATTGGGTAATTTAATAAATAGCATAAATAATACTTGGTACAATTACTGTTTTTACATTACTGTGACGGTTGGGGTGGGAGTAGACGTTAATAAAATACAATATAATAAATAATATAAATAATTCTCTTTAACTTTCTGTATCTGATCTAGCAATAACCAATAAATTCCTTGGTGCATATTAAAAAGGTCATGTGAAATTGCCTCAGTAGATGATGTGATTGGATGCAAGTGAACCAGTCTTATCTTGCACCATCTAAAATGTTCTTTTTATAACTCTGTGAGGACCTGAAGGAAAAGTCTATTCTCGAATTGAATTTTTTTTAGTTACCTCCTACATAATCCTTTCAGCATAAGTAACATGCTTCCAAACTCAAGATAACATGACCGAGTTTGTGTTTCATCTTCTTCACTGTGGAGGGAATGGAGCTATAGGGGTGTCTTTGGTTCCCAGAAGGTGGCCATTTTTATTTTCTTGAACAACATGGGACAAAAACAGTGGTTTAATTTTGCACATACATAAAAAAAAAGCTGAAAAACTAATGTTGTTTTAAGAACTCTCTAATGTGACCCAGAACTGTGACATTATCATATGTGATGCAGCATGGAAACACTGCACTACATCTGGCAGCTAAGCAGGGCCACAGCGACGTCCTACAGAAGATCATGGAAACTGGGGAGAACATCGATGAAAGAAACATTGTAAGTCTAAAGCCCCATTCATTCACACTAAGAACTTTTAGTCTAACAATACTTTTATTTGTATTCACACCAGTGCATGGTAACATTGTGTTTATTGCAGTGCAATGTGCACATTCACTATAGTCCTGCTGAAACCATGTATTTTTATAGAGATCTAATTATTATTATTATTATTAAGATCTTCTAGTTCCAGTTATTATTATTACACTGCAAAAAATGCTTTTCTTACTTAGATTTTTTGTCTTATTTCTAGTCTAAATATCTAAAAATTTCTATATCAAGAAGCATTTTCTAGACAAGCAAAACATATATTCTTGTTTTGAGAAATAATATGCCAAAATGAAGTGAGTTTTTCCCTTAAAACAAGCAAAATAATCTGCCAATGGGGTAAGCTAAATAATCTCACTTCAAAAAAAAAAAAAACAAGATTAATTTGCTTACCCCATTGGCAGATTATTTTGCTTGTTTTAAGGAAAAACTCACTTAATATTGGCATATTATTTCTCAAAACAAGACGATATGTTTTGCTTGTCTAGAAAATGCTTCTTGATAAAAGAAATTTTAGATATTTAGACTAGAAATAAGACAAAAAATCTAAGTAAGAAAAGCATTTTTTGCAGTAGCTTTACTCCAGAAGATCTCGGTCTTGCATGCTCTTGTAAGACTTTTGGGATTTATCTTAATCTGCCTGCTGCCTTCTTTTATCAGGATGGCATGACAGCTTTGCATTTGGCATCTGAAGGCGGTCATTATGAGTGTATCAGACTGTTGCTGGAGGCTGGTTGTAATGTGAATGAACTTACTGATGTGAGTACACTGTTGCATTACTCATTGCAGAATTGTGGGTGCATTTCAAGTGTTGTCATTAATTTTCTTCTGTACAGCAAATGTATAATTTACAGTAAGTTGAATCTATTATTAATGAGAATTGCTTAACTGTGATGGGTAACATTTGACTCTGTTATACATTTTTGACTTTACAGGGCTTGCAAAATCTGATTATTTTGATTTCATTCATTTATTCATTCATTTTCTTGTCGGCTTAGTCCTTTTTATTAATCTGGGGTCACCACAGTGGAATGAACCGCCAATTTATCCAGCAGGTTTTTACGCAGCAAATGCCCTTCCAGCTGCAACCCATCTCTGGGAAGCATCCACACACACGTTTACATACACACTCATACACTACGGACAATTTAGCCCACCCAATTCACCTGTACCGCATGTCTTTGGACTGTGGGGGAAACCGGAGCACCCGGAGTAAACCCACGCGAACGCAGGGAGAACATGCACACAGAAACGCCAACTGAGCCTAGGTTCGAACCGGCGACCTTCTTGCTGTGAGGCGACAGCATTACCTACTTTAGTGGCGCAAATGCCTCAGCCATTATTTTGATTTAAATCTGTTATTTTTTCAGTTGTACTACCAAAATCTATCTACACCGTGCCCATAGATATATACACTAGATATCGCATAGGGACCCTGAGCATGCGTCAGTAGCGCCGCCATATTTGTACAGTGCTCCCAGGACAAGTGTCATTCAACCACACTAGTCAAGACAGTGTTATAACGTGAAGATGCGGGACTTTAGCGCTGTCCACGGGTGTAGTAACGAGCAAACAAAGAAAACAAAGCACAAAGGCAGAACATTTCATAGGTAAGATTAAGTTTTTACGTTTTTGTATGTTCTGAACTTTTGTGCTAAACGGGTAACGTTAATGTTGATAATACAGTCACTTACTGCATTCACCATTAGGAAAAGCAGCACTAACTCGCACTAAGCCCTCAGCTTATGCTAGTTTTGTTGAATAAAATCAGCAAACAATGCAAAGGAAATATGACAACAAGATGCTGCGCTGCCAGAAACTTGTATTATTGTCGGCTAAGTGAAGGAGTCGTTCATAACGGAGATTCATTCACAAACTAATCGCTCCCTCCTTCAGTATGAGAAGTGAAAGCAGTTGAGGGGCTGTGTTTCAGGGCTTGATTAGATCAAATTTAACAGGGAGGGTGGATAGTACATATCCATACACACAAACACAGCTTTTTGTCAGAAATGCCTGTGGGATCGCTGATCTATCAATGTAGAAAAGTGATGGAAAATTATAAGTTTCGTAGTTAAGAAAAATTAGCATACTGACCTCCCGGAAAACTTCTGATTATAGATATATGTGTTTTTCTCTGGCTCTGGATGGCCACGGTCCTCCACTGCAGCTTGGCCCCGCATTAATTTCAAAGGAGCACTACCCTGTACTAAAATGGCGGCTCTATTGACGCATTCCTTCCAATAGACGACAACAGGGTAGGCGACATCTAATGTATATATCTATGCACCGTGCCAGGTAGGCTATCTAGATATCTTTTTGGTTACAAAAATCTAAATCAAATGTAAACTACATGTATGCACATATCTAGATATCAAGATAGCCCGCCAGGCATGGTGTAGATAGATTTTGGTAGCCCAACTGAAAAAACAATAGCCCCGGAACTTCTGTCTACCAGCCCTGCTTTATAAACCATAACAGAGCTGACGTTATCCATCATTTTGTGCTCAAGATGCTAAACTCAAACTAGTTGCCACATGGAACATCTAAAACAGAATGGGGTATATGCCGAGCTAGTGTGTTTCCCATGCTGATAAACTTCCGGTGACCTGTTATTGTGAGTTTTTTGTCATTTTATACGATTCCTTTTACAGCATCGATGTTGTAATGTAATTCAAATACATTCAGTTAAACAGACTTTGGCATTCATTTAGTTGCTCAATCGTAAAAAGAGACAAAAAGCTGTTTACTCGTACGCACCTGTCAGAATCGGCAGGTTAGCGCAGAAGCTCCATTGAATATACTGGGGTAAAATTAATGCTCATATTATAAAGACATGGCGGGGAAAATGTAATTTAATCCAGTGCTTCTTGTACAATGTAAGACCCACTTTATATCGGATATCACTCAGCCAGATGAGATCGCTGACTTTTAAAGAAAACAGACCTTTAACGCGCCAATTTTGCACTGGCATACAATTCACCAGAAAGGATTAACCCAGGTTACTGGCAAATTAAAAGTCCTATCAGCATGCTTCGGCATACACCCTATTGTATGTTTTCTTCATGTTACTGATATTGTAAAAAGTGAATGAAAACTTCACTGAAATATCACAGTAAGACTATAATTTTACTATAATTTACCATTCAGGGATTAAAATTTTGCTCAAATTAATGAGAGAATAATAAAAAACGTAGCTGCGTCCCAAATCGCATACTTATGCACTATTCTATGCCATTTTATAGTATAAATAGTGTAAGTAGTGTGTTCACACTGAAAACTCTAAAAATAATAAGTGCACTTTAATTACCCGGATGATGCACTCATTCAGCCGCTAAAATGAAGTGTGTAATGATGGACACTTCACGCACTCAACGACCGCAGGTTTGCTTACGTAGTGGAAGGGGCGGAGCTATCGGGCGCACATGTTGGATAACTTTACTTATTTTGGATGGTGAAAGCAAAATTCTCCTACGAGAGTGATTATAGCGCCTCCCGATGGTGAATGCGGTTATACTCACGGCAGGTAAAATTTGATAATTCGGTCGTTTATTTCACTGATTGGCAACCGTCAAACGTCATCAGGGAAATGGTTTATATTTCCGTTTAGTAAAAAAAAAACATTAGTGTGCTATTTGGGATGCCACTACATACATATACTATCCTGTTGAGTGTGTAAGTGCATAAGTACTTAGTGCATGAGTGCATAGTGTATTGTGTGCCATTTGGGACGCACCTCATGTCTCAATAGCTTCCAGAATTTTCCACCAGAGGAAGTGACATCACTTGGAGCAAGTCAAATGCTTTTTCTATCAGTGCTGAGGTTAAAGATTATAGCTGTTTCTTAATATGCGTTCTTTATTGGTCTCGCGTCCTCTTGTTCTCTTGTAACGTCCAACCAAAATTCAGTTCCATAACTCAAGAGCGCAAGAACGGAGGATGCATTAAATCCCGGATGCGTTCTTAATGTCGAGGATGTGTGGCTGCAGACTTGAGCACCGAACTCACTCTAGAAATCCCAGAAATCATTGCGGCTGAATAAAGGAGGTGGGAAGCGCAGCATGTTATATAGGTTTATTATTAAATTTCAGAGATAAAACTTATTTATCTCAGAAGTTTCCCTAAATGAGACGGTGAAAGGAAACATTAATATTAAATTTCTTAATAAAGGAATAAGGACATTAAGGGTGTTTATTTGCTTAAATTCATATTATAATCTGTTTTATTTGTAGTGTGCAAAGTATATTTGTAAGGTTTTTGTTCATGTTTTACACAGTATATTGAAAATGGAAAAACAATGAATCGTTGTATGAATGCTGTACTGTTTCAATAATTTTCTTTTATAAATGCGCGAAGCTCATGTCACCATCTGGAAGAACACAGCATGTCATTTCTTAGAGGATGCGTTCGGTGTTCTACAGTCTCCCGAGTTCATTCTTCTGGGGTAACCTAGCAGGACCGCTCTCCACAAGAACACATGTCCCTTCTCTGAGTTGTTGGAATTTAGAAACAGCCTCCCTCTTTTTATAACAGATGAAACGGAGTTTACCTGTTGGGACAGACACAAAATATTTTATTTATTTTTATTATTACTGAAATGACAAATAATACAGATAATAGATGTTTCATGTAAAGTTTATTTAAATTGTAATTAAATAAGCACACAGAATTAAAGTTAGACTTAAATTTCAGGGTAATCAAAGCTGAATGTTTGATTCATGAAGTTGTGACAGTCAAATTGTATATAATGGGAGTCTTTAAGTTAATATTTTAGTAAGAAAAAGATCTTGAGTACAGATACAAACATGTTTTTTTTAGGAATAACTTACTATTTTTGTGCTATTGTTTTATTTAAGTGTTTTGTTTTCGAAAAAAAAAATGTAAGTCATATTAATTATTATTTAGATGCAAAATGCACCTGCAATTCTTGGATCACCAATAAATTCATATAAAGTTAAAGTCAGAATTATTAGCTCCCCTTTCATTTTTTTTCTTCTTTTTTTAATATTTCCCAATTTATGGTTAATAGAGCAAGGAAATTTTCACTGTATGTCTGATAATATTTATTTGTCTGGAGAAAGTCTTATTTATTCAATTTCGGCTAGAATAAAGCAGTTTTTAATTTTTTAAACACCATTTTAGGGACAAAATTATTAGCCCCTTTAAGCTTATATATTTTTCAATAGTCTACAGAACCAACCATCATTATACAATAACTTGCCTAATTACCCTAACCTGCCTAGTTAACATTATTAACCTAGTTAAGCCTTTAAATGTCACTTTAAGCTCTATCGAAGTGTCTTGAAAAATATCTAGTCAAATATTATTTACTGTCATCATGGCAAAGATAAAATAAATCAGTTATTAGAAATTAGTTATTAAGACTATTATGTTTAGAAATGTGTTGAGAAAATCTTCCCTCCGTTAAACAGAAATTGGGGGAAAAAAATAAATAGGCGGGCTAATAATTCTGACTTCAACAGTAAATCTAACTGATTGAGGATTTTCAATGCATGGTAATGTGCTTCTGCAATAGAGTAAGAGGACAGCTCTTCATCTGGTGGCCCAGCATGCCTCAGCCAGTGAAGTCAGACTGTTGATACAGGCCGGCATCAATCTGGATTCAGTAGACACTGTGAGTACTACAATCTTCAGTTTTCAGCCCAATACCACAGCATACTTGCTTGTTATATTTTTGTAGCATGGAATAGTATAACATTTACTGTTCAATTCATAGAGAACCGGTCTGCATAATTCGATTCTGTTCATCTTTATTTCTATAGCACTTATACAATGTAGATTGTTATTTATACACTTATACAATGTCTATTGTAAGCTTAACATAGAAAGAAGTTCTGGTGAATTGAAACTGTCAGTCCAGTTTTCAGAGTTAAAGTTCAGTTTAGTTCAGTTGAGTGTGTTTTAAATTTCACTGCTGAAAGTCCAAACACTGAAGAGCAAATCCATCCTGCTCCACAAGTCTTATAACTGCATATACTGTAGGTGTGTTCATATTTGTTCAAAGTAAGATGAGTAATTATTGAATCAGAAAATCTAGGTACGAGGCCATTTTCATTGGCATGTAGTATTATTTCATAGCGAACCGCTATCAGACGTCAGACAAAACAAAAGCACTGTTTGGGACCAGTTTTCATGATTTGCCAAAGTTTTAATGTACATTTTAATTTTACAAATACCCTTTGTGGACTTGATCCTGTGCGAGTCGAGCATGTTCGTTCATCTCGTGTAAGAAGAAAAAATGTTTTATTTTTTTTTGGCTTCATTATATGAACACTTTTTGACCTTCAATATATACTTAAAGGGTTAGTTCACCCAAAAATGAAAAGGTACTCACTATTTACTTTCCCTCAAGTGGTTCCAAACCTTTAGTTTTCTTTTTCTGTTGAACAAGAGAAAATGTTATAAACCTGTAACCATTGAATTCCATATTATGAAAGTCAGTGGTTACAGATTTCCAACATTTTTTAAAATAACCTTCACTTGTCACAAAGCTGTTTGAGTTTCTTTTTACTGTTGAACACAAAAGAAGTTGAAAAAATGATACAGTAATTTAATTTTCGGGTGTACTATCCCTTTAAGTATAATGTAAGACATACAGTTTAATACTGGCATGTCATGCAATTCCAAGGGATTGAATTCCCAAGGAATGCATTAGCTTAAAAGTTTAGTTAAAAAAAGTCAAGCCTGATATTATTCATACAAATTCTGATTTAAAGATTTTCACCTATGATGAAAATGATCTTTTGTAAGCTGTTTGTACAGAACTGTGTGTAGGTATAGTGTTTCCACAGTCATATTAAGGTGATATAAACACATTAAGGTGATATAAACACAGTAAGTCTCTATTTTCTAACTTTAAAATAGGATCCAAATCTCTCCCATTTTGAGGCTAACCCCAACGTGATTTAAGAGTCCGGTTTCCACCCCCCAACGAATTGATTGACAGCGCCGTATTAAAATGTTTCCGTAGTAACACGTTTCCGTAATAACACGTATAATCATATCAGCAAGACAGGACATGTGCAAAGCAACCGGGAAGAGAAGATCTGTTCTGCGCTCTGTGATCATCAATCATCATTAAATGTGATCAGGAATGAATTTCACATGTTTAAAATGTTTTTTAAACAGTGCATGTGTGTAATGAATTACAGAGATTTTACTGTCTTTATCACCACAGCCATGTGTCAGTACAATTATAAAAGTAGACGCTTCAATCACGGTTTGTGGATGTTAAATCAGGTTTATTTTGAACCAGATCCTTGGTCAAGTGTGCAACCCCACTTCCCTAGACTGCTCAGGGGTTGTAACAATTAACATAACGGATATCGATACAGCAGTGGATATTAACGCGTGTGTGTGTGTGTGTGTGTGTGTGTGTGTGTGTGTGTGTGTGTGTGTGTGTGTGTGTGTGTGTGTGTGTGTGTGTGTGTGTGTGTGTGTGTGTGTGTGTGTGTGTGTGTGAACTTTGTCACTCGTAACGACATTGTCTGTAACTCATCGCAGAAGGGCTTGAATAAACTCCACAACAAATACGTCAAATAATCATTGGGAAAGTTCTTACTGTAGTATTTCTCACAAACTTTACGTGAGATCTGCTTCCTTCATGTCTGTCCCTGTGCTGTTTATCTGATGGAGACGGAGACACACTAACTAGCACATGGGAACGGTGTGCGGAGAGAACTCGCATTAAAGGCAAAGACAACAAAAACAGCTACAGTGTGTTCAGAGGACTACATTTAAATATCCTGAAAAGTATAATAAATAATCTGATGGGTGTTTTGAGTTGAAACTTAACAGACACATTCTGGAGACACAAAAGACTCATCTTAAATCTTAAAAAGGGATAAAATAGGTGCCTTTCAAAGTTACTTTTACTTAACTTGCAAGATGTTGTTTTTTGTAACCAGAAATGACACCGCCCTTTCCCAAAAGATAATTCAACGATGTACAAGAGGCATCATTGTTTAAAAAAAAAAAAATATATATATATATATATATATCTCAGCTTTTATTGACATTTGAACAAAAAAAAATTCAGAATTTGCCAGGGGTATGAATAATTTCAGGCTTGACTGTACAGTAAGTGTTTGCCAGGTGAATAAATATTATGGAAATTGTTTTACATCTTAGAGCATGCACTAGAATTAGTAATTTACTACAACCAGAATTACTGACAAAATGTGCGTTAAAAAAGCTTTAGATTCGTTTTTAGAGGCCAACGTGGATTTTGTGATTTGACTGAAATTGTTGACTCAAAAATTAACTCAAAAATTAACATTCGCTGGTAATTTACTCACTTTCATGCCATTAAATATGTCAATGATTTTTCTTTTTACCTTCAGTAGAGCATTGAAGAAGATTTATAGCCGAAACTAAACCTGGTTATTTAAAAAAATCACTATTTTAAACTAACAGCATCAGTTTGTCAGTTTGCATCTGGGCATTTTCAGTATGCACTACAAACTATCATGCTCAGGATTATTTAAACAGTTTTTTTCTCTTTCTTTAAGATTTTTTAAATTTTATTTACCCATAGTACTTACAGATATTTTTCCTTACCAGCAACATGTTTCAGCTCTACACCTGGCAGTACTCAACAACTCCACAGAAATAGTCAAGGATCTTATTGAAGCGGGATGCGACCTGGACATCTTTGACAATGTGAGTACGACTCACCCAAAAATTCACTCATAGTTCACCCAAAAACGAAAGTTCTGCCATCATTTATTCATACTGAAAAATGTTGGGGTAAAAAAAAAAACGGGCATTGACTTCCGTAGTGTGTTTTGTTCTTACTGTAGTGGCTGCTTTTTCCCCAACATTCTTCTTCAGAACATTTAGTTTGTGTTCAACAGCAGAAAGTAATACATAGACCTTTAGAACCACTTGAGAGTTAGTAAATAGTGAGGATTTAGATTTTTGAGTGAACTATCCCTTTAGATGATTTATTTTGTATAGCTCTAGGCCTGTCACAATTATCAATATATTGACGTATCGCACAACACATGGACATTTTGGGTGATGCAATATATAACGGCCATTTATAAAAAACAATTCTAGCTACACTTTAGCTGATTGTGCAACATCTCTATCTCTATTGGAGGTTTCAGTGTCAGGATGGTTAGAAAACACTATAGTTTTTACTAGAGCTGCACGATTCTGGCTAAAATGAAAATCACGTTTTTTTTTTTTTGTTTTTTTTTAAATCAAGATCACAATTTTCTCACGATTCTGTAGATGTAAAATAAAGGTTAATATTAGTGGGCTGTTATTATTGTTATTCTTAAACGTGGTAAAACAGCAAAAGGATTTGTGTAGCTGTACTGTTGGGTAAAATGCTAACTTTTGTATAGACTTGGAATGGTGGACTTTAACAGACTTTAGATTTGTCCTGGTCATTAATGCTGATGATAATTCTGATGTTAAATTATTGTGTTTGAGACATATGCTTACAATCTGTCATTTTCTGCTTAAAATCTGTCACTGACGTGATTTTCGTGAATACAGAAGACTGGGTGGGTATTTTTTGCATTTTGGCGGGTTTTGGATACTTTTTTGGCTGGAATCAGTCAGCTACATCTGGCAACACTGTGCGCTTTCGGTTTCATTTTCATTGCTAAGAGCGGTTCGTACTTACCGTGCGGCTTCCAAATGATCGCTCTGTGCCACAAACTGAATGTTATTTACAACTTTATTACCTGTTATTCACAGCCTATGCAGGTTCTGTTCACTAAAGTAGACTTCATTCACAGGCGTGTACGCGCCCGCCCTGTCTGTGGTAGTAGTTGACGGTTAGCTCGCGTCACGTGGGATTTTTGCGGTCGCAAACACATTACATGAAGACAGAAATGACATTTTTGGGGTGAATTATATCTTATAAATACAGCAGGTGACTCTTGTAACACCCTTTGGAGGTGTCCACATTGCTGAACAACGTATGTAAAACAATGTGAAGACTTGTGCGGCCACCTTTGCTTCTCTCCTGAACTTGAATATATGATTGACAGAATCGTAGAAATGCTGGATTTAAGATCGTCTAGGGCCGGGGTGTCAAACTCAATTCCTGGAGGGCCGAAGCCCTGCACAGTTTAGTTCCAACCCTGCTCCAACACACTTACCTGTAGGTTTCAAACAAGCCTGAAGGACTCAATTAGTTTGATCAGGTGTGTATAATTAGGGTTGGAACTAAACTGTGCAGAGCTGCGGCCCTTTTGGAACTGACTTTGACACCTGTGGTCTAGTGGGTCGAATCGAGATGCCGATCTTTTTATGATTAATTGTGCAGCTCTAGTATTTACTATAAATGACTATAGTATATTTTCATATGGGTGTCTGACAACTGAAAATAGATATCGCAGCCTCTGTTACTTTTTACCTTGCATATTTCTGTTAACATTTATCATCATTTAGTTAGGATATGCGTTTTTACATTCTAATTTCATTGCCTGTTTATTAAACTGCTAAAATGACTCTAAATTAAATACTTTTAAGAATAAAATATGATTCGTTTTTTGGAAGTGTACTCTCATTGTGATTATATTATGTTGTCATTCTGGCATCATATAATGAGTGGCATAAAATGGTCTTAAAATGACAATAATATTATTTATAGCAATTTATTTTGGTGCTATATATAGTAAAGCAAAAAATAGATATTGTGACAGACGTATATGGCACCTTTCAACTAGATTTCTCAAACGATGAAAAATCCATAATTAAGTAAAGGCTAAAATAAAATGTATCATTTAATTTGAGCTTTTACTTGATTATCCATTTTACATACAGTTGAAGTCAGAATAATTAGTCGTCCTGAATTATTAGCCCCCCTTCCCTCCCCCCTGTAAATTTTCCCCCAATTTCTGTTTAACAGAAAGAAAAAAAATTTCAACACATTTTTTAGACATAAATGTTTTAAAAACTCATTTAAAAAAACTGATTTCTTTTATCTTTCTTTTTTTCTTTTCTTTTTTTCTTTTATTATTGACTTCAACTGTGGTTTTAAACTTTTTTTTATTATTTTTTTTACATTTATTAGTTATTTTAGATTGTTTTAAATTAGAAATTGTAAACTTTTCCTCCTTTCTGTCTGCTAAGGGACAATTCTAAAACTATTTTTAAATATTAGAGTTTGTTAATGGGGTTTTATAGTAGATAATTTAAGATGAAAATTATATTAGCCACAGGGTTCTCACGGGTCATGACATTTCTGAAATATAATGGAATTTTTAAAGGCGTATTCTAGACATTGAAATTCAGGGAATCAAGTCATGAAATATTAGGGAGTTTTGTTTGTCATATTATATTTTACTGTCATTTTATTTAAAAAAAATGTTTGCACTTTGGTTTTTAGCACATAGACATGATATACAGTTGAAGTCCTGAATTATTACCCCCCAAGTATATTTATTCCCCAATTTCTGTTCAACAGAAAGCAGATATTTTTCAACACAGTTCTAAACATAATAGTTTTAATAACTCATTTCTAATCACTGTTTTATTTTATCTTTGCTATGATAAAAGTAAATAATATTGTACTTGACATTTTTCAAGATACTAATATTCAGCTTAAACTGGCATTTAAAAGCGTAACTAGGTTAATTAGGCAGGCCATTGTATAATGATGGTCTGTTTGTAGACAATTTAAAACATATTGTATAAGGGGGCTAAAAATATTGACCATAAATAGTTTTTTTTTAATTACAAAACTGCTTTTATTCTGGCCGAAGCAAAAAATTAAAACTTTCTCCAGAAGAAAAAATATTATAGGAAATACTGTAAGAAATTTTCTTCACAAAAGGTTGAAATGACAGTATAACACCAAATTTTTATTATTATTTTTTGTATTACAGCGGCTTCAGACTGCTTTGCACATTGCAGCAGAACATGGACGACTGAACATCGCTGAGACGATCCTGATATCTGGAGTCAACCTCAATCTGCTCGATAAGGTGCAGGTTAACCTTTTCCTCAGTTAAACCTGGGTGTGGTGGATGATGTGTTTTCATATTATGATATAATTCTGATCAAACAAATTAAACATGCTTGCTCTAAATGTTACAGCAGGGGAAGTCCTCACTTGATGTTGCAGCACGAGGAAACCATGTCAATGTCGTTGACATGATTATCAAAGCGGATCGATTTTACAAATGGGAAAAGGTATGTTTAATGTAATTAGTTAGACCAAAAATAATTCAGACGCCAAACACAACTTCAAATCAGAAATGGTGGGACAATATGGAAAACGCAAATATAAAAGAAAGTGATTTCTACATTTACTTTGACTTGTGTTTCATTGCAGACAATATAAACACAAAATATTTCATGCTTTGTCTGGTCAACTTCATTTCATTTGTAAATATACATCTTTTCCTGTCATTCAGACCTGCAACACTTTCCAAAAAAAGTTGGGAGTAGTAGTAATTTAGGGTTAGTAACCAGGTAAATTGGTTAAATAAGGATGTGATTTAAAGCAGGTGATGTCAGCAGGTGATTGTAATTATGATTTGGTACAAAAGCAGCATCCAAGATCGAAAGGTCTAGTTCTTTAGGAGCAAAGATGGGCCGAGGATCACCAACAAATATGTGAGAAAATTATTAAAATGTTTAAAAGCACTGTTCCTCAAAGAAAGATAAGAAGACATTTGGATGACTTCAGCAGTGCATAACAACATTAAAAGATTTAAGAAATCTGGAGGAAATTCAGTGCGAAAAGAATAAGGGTCCAAGCTAAGCAACCATAGTTGGCTGAAAAAATACATAGTAACAATACATAGTCACATCCACAAATGCCAGTGAAAAGTGTACTTTGCCAAAAGGAAGCCCTATGTTAACAGTGTCCATAAGCGCTGTTGACTTCTCTGTGCTTGGAGGCATTTGGGATGGACCATCACACAGTGGAAATATTTAAGGATTTTTTTTGGAAGAAAGAGACTCAACTTGGGGTCTGGGTGAGTCCTAATGCCCCAGTAAAGTGATGGGACACTATACTGTCAGTGAGCGTCGTCTTTCGGATGACACGATAAACAGAGATCCTGACTCTGTGGTCATTAAAAATCCCATGGCACTTCTCCTAAAAGAGGTGTGTAACCCCGGTGTCCTGGCCAAATTCCCTCATTCAGCCCTTACCCATCATGGCCTCCCAATCACCCCATCCACTGAATTGTCTCTATTTCTCCACTCCACCAGTAGCTGGTGTGTGGTGAACGCACTGGCACTTTTGTCCTGTGGCTGCCGTCGCATCATCCAAGTGGACGATACACAGTGGCGGAGGTGTAAAGAGACCCCACTCATGATTGTGAAGCACTTTGGGTGTATAGCTATACATGATAAATGCCCTATAATACACATTACATTACCAGCAACATTTCCAAAAGCCAGGGTTTGTCATGGTTATGTCAGTGTCCTTGGCAAAGGTAACTTGCACTTCTGTGATGGAACCATTAAAGTTGAAAAGTACATGGAGATTTTGAAGCACGATATGCTGCCCGTGCATATTTTAACAAGACAATGCAAAACCACATTCTGGACACATGGCAAAGTCCTGGCTGAGGAGGAAGAGGATACAGGTACTTGACTGGCTTGCCTGCAGTCCTGACCTGTCTCCAATAGGGAATGTGTGGAATATTTTGATGCGCAAAATGTGACAATGAAGACTCCGTACTGTTGCCCACCTTAAGACTTGTTTGCAGGACGAATGGGACACAATTACACCTGAAACATTTCATCACTTGGTGTCTTCAGTCCCTAAGCATCTTTTAAGTATTGTGAAGAGGAATGGCAGCATTGCAAAGTGTTAAATGCTTTACTGTATCAACTTTTTTTTTTAAATGTGTTGCAAGAACCAAAACTGGAATACAAGTTTATTGGTAAAATTAAATCATTAGGATCACTTTAAATAATGTTGCATTGTCTACAATGAAATACAAGTCAAAGTAAATTTAGAAATTACTACTTTGTTTTTTCATTCGCGTTTTTCTTACCGTCCCTGATTTTTTGTCTTAAATTCGACTTCTTATCAATTAGAAATGATCAGACCGGAGGTTTTGAATATCAGAAAATAGACTTTATTCTCCATAATAAAGCCGAGAAAGAGCAGAGCAGACCCCAGAGCATTCTGAAGTCTCTCCTGGACACTTCCTATCTCTGGTTCTCTCTTTCCAAAGTCTCTCCTGCTCCTTCTGAAGTCTCTGTGTTTTTTACAATCTTTATACAGGTTATTTTCCACACCCCTAGGTGTCTCATTTTAACTTTTAACCATTTTAGGATAGGTTTTTACTAGGGATGTAACGGTATTGTAAATACCGTCATACCGCAATATAAATTTTTTTCGATATTACCGTAGTCGCATGACTCGGTAAAACTATAGGTCTTCTGAGAAAATTTGCTCAGGCGAATGAAGCGAACGGGAGGTACCGGAAACTACAATTCCCATCAGCCCAGGCTTGACCATCATCCCTTGCGGTCTGTTGTCGCTACAGATCCAGTAATGCGGAAATGGAGTGTGCTGCTAGAAGCGGGGATGAAAAAGAGCTGGAAAACTCTAAAGTGGGTGTTGTCGCCGCGCGCGTACTGAATAGCGGTGTTGTCGCACGAGTTCTTATCAGCTGTGTTGTCGCGCGCGTTCTTATCAGCTGTGTTGTCGCGCGCGTTCTTATCAGCTGTGTTGTCGCGCGCGTTCTTATCAGCTGTGTTGTCGCGCGCGTACTGAATAGCGGTGTTGTCAGCACACTGTTCAGATTGATGCAGACATGAGACCTCTATCTTACTCATGGTTTGTCCTCTCAAGTGGGGGAAAGACAATGCACAACGTTACCCACTGCTGTCAACCTGGGCCAAGTCATATCTCTCTTGTCCCAGAAACCTCAGTCCCAAATGAGAGGTTTTTTTTCTGTTGCAGGGGACATTGTAAATACCCAGAGATACCAGCTTTTACCAGATTATATTTATATGATAATTTTCCTTTAAACCCATCTCTATCTAAGTGAGTGAGTGATTAAATGTTGAATGTGATGAGTTTTCAACAATACTAAATTGAAACTTTATTTTTTTTACATGGTTTAATATTTTTTTGTTATTAAAATTGAAGTTCCTGTTTCAAAGCTTACAGATAGATGAATAATTTGTATGTCATTGACACTTTTGGCACTTTTTTGGAGTATTTTCATAAGTTTTGTTTTTTCCTGTAAATGATTCAATAAATACCGTACCGTGACATTCATACCGAGGTATTACCGAACCGTGAAATTCTGATACCGTTACATCCCTAGTTTTTACTCTAGGTGGCCCTGTTATTCTTGGCTCACAGCCCACTAGCTTATGTCAACAGAGATGTTACAGGTCTGTGTCAGCAACTGTTTTGACACCAGAGCATAGATGCAAAATAACTAAGTGTTTACATACATTGTCATGATAGCATAATAACTTGATAATATGTTACTCACTATAAGCTTCATACAAGTATTTAACATATATAATCAGTGCTTTACATATTCAGTTTTACACAATTAGTCATTCAGTCATTCTTCTGCTAGTGTTGCTCCTGTGCCGACATACTCATCTTACACAGACACATCACTGTATTTTTAACACACGCTGGCATGTTTACTGCAAACACTCCATACATTTTGAGAAGAGAAAATTAATTGCTTTACACTGAGAGAATAGAAATCTTCTTCAATTTTTCTGATTTAGGGTTGTACATTTTGTTGATAATTTTATTATTATTTGTTTTGCTGGTTGCTGCAGGACAATATAGTTAATTTACTGTATGTAAGTGAGGTGAGCAAAATAATGTAAACTATGACATATCATACCCAAAACGTCTTCAGCTAGTGAACTAATAATCAACAGGAAGTTAAAAACCTGCTGCAGCCAGTATGAGAAAATTGAAGTTCAAGTTTGATGAATTTGGTTTACAACAGAAACTACAGGCTGACATCGAGGAGAAGAGGGAACAACTAAATATTTATAGTTGTGATAATATTGTCAAACATTTCTCCGATGTATTTTGGTTGACTGTAATTATTACATACTGTTCCATCTGTCAGTTATCTGATATTATAAAGATTAATGTACTCTCACAGAGTTTAACACGGATTTCATGTCATATTTTATTACAACATTCGAATCTATAACGAATAAAATGATAATGTGAGAAATATGGTAGGTGTCTAAATCATTTTTTGATGGTTCATTCAGGTAAATGACTTTGTTGTGTGGTATTTTTGATGTGTAAACTTGCTTTCTAGGAAAATGTTTCGAGCGACTCTGACTCTTTGGTTGGAACTAGTCTTACCTTTAAACAGGACCATCAACCGGAGACGCAACACATCCGATCTGTCCTGTGGAAACTCGCCAGCAGATTTCTCAAACCAGGCGAGTGGAAAACACTGGCGCGACACTGGAAGTTCTCTGAAGCACATATTCGAGCCATAGAGCACCAATGGACAGGTAAAATATTTAACATAATACACTAGATATTATACATAGGGTCAAATGAAATGGGGTTATCATAAAGCAAATCAGTGAACTTTTTCAATCATGTTTTGATTGTGTGCTGTTGAATTATATTATTCATTATTTAGCATTTTTTATGCCAGAAATATTTGCTGTCATAAATTTGTACAAAGATTACAAAGACCCACCAAAATATAATGTGGTGTACCATTAATTGTTATACTCCATAATTGCATTAGGCATGTTTAGATTATTTTATAATTTTAAAAAAGAAAAAAATGACAGGAGGGCTAGTAATTTTAACTTCAACTGTATATATTTTTATTACATCCTTATACGGATTGGGTGTTTGTCTGTAAAAATCTGATAGTCTCTGAATTTTTAAAGGTACTAAGAGCTACAAGGAGCACGGGCACCGAATGCTGCTCATCTGGCTGCACGGCGTGATCACCGCTGGAGAAAACCCCATCAAGGGCTTGTACGAGGGTCTGATGGGAATCTCAAGAGTCGATCTGGCAGGTGAATTCATTGTTCATCATAAAATCTGTTGATAAACCTGTGGTGAAGCACATCAAGACAGAACGCTTATGCATTATACAGTATGTGCACTTAACACCTCAAAGGCAGTCAAATGATGATTTTTTTTTGTAAAATACACGCTGATGCTTGGAAATGCCAATGATAATCTGACAATGTGTGTTATTTACCACAGATATTAGGGTTGTCAATATGCTCAATATAATACTGAACTGTTTGGTTCAACCTCCACAGTTCAATACGCATATGGAAACTGTGGTGGTTTTTTGGGTGGGTTTTGCATTTAAGGACCCCTTTAAATAGAAAATGACCAGACAGAGCATGTTTTGCAGTACATCTCATCTCATGCCTTCATGCACTGACACTCCTATATGTTTCCTAAAAGCATTTGTTGTTATTAGTATATTGATATACAATATGAAGCTCAGCTCATAGTAAAGTCACTTCCAAAAATAGGGAAAAAAAATGTTTTGGCCTCATGCTAAATTTATTCTTTTGATTTCTACCGTGAAATGATTTAGTTATTCAGAAATGTTATTCTTTGACCTTATCTTGAACATAATTGTTTACTAGATATTTTTCAAGACACTTCTTCACAGCTTAAAGTGATACTTAAAGGCTTAGTTTAATTTTGACCTTAAAATTTTTTTTAAAAATTAAAAACTGCTTTTATTCTAGCCGAAATAAAACAAATAAAGACTTTCTCCAGAAGAAAAAATATTATCAGACATACTGTCAAAATGTCCTTGCTCTGTTAAACATAATTTGGGAAATAATTAAAAAAGAAAAAACAATTCATCATGCAGTTGCTGTAGATTTGTTGGCTGCACATCTATGAAGTGAGTCTCCCGTTCCACCACATCCCAAAGGTGCTCTATTCGATTGAGCTCTGGTGACTGTGGAGGCAACTGTAGGGATTATATAAAGTTTTAACCCAAAGAATGACCAGTCTGTCAGATGAAGAAGAGCCGGAGTCAGAGATTCAAATAAATATATAAAGTTTACTCATCAGCAGAAGCCAGCTTCAACACTCACAATGAGTTCCTAGGCCACTCTGCCTTACAGTAAAACAATTCAGCAATTATACTCCTTCCCACAAGTCCTGGGATCCAGGTAAACAGTTCTCATTGGTTACGGCAAAAATAGACAATTCTAAATGTGTGTGTTGATGAAGGATTGTATCTAACTTTAGATATGGATGTCCTAAATGTGTGCGTCAATAGAGAATTGTATCTAACTCCAGATATTGTTTTGTTCAAAATCATTGTCTGAGATGATTCACGTTTTATGACATGATGCATTATTCTGCTGGAAGTAGCCATCAGAAGATGGGCACACTGTAGTCATTAAGGGATGGACATGGTCAGCAACAATACTCAGGTAGGCTGTGGCGTTGACACAATGCTCAGTTGGTACTAATGGACCCAAAGCATGCCAAGAAAATATCCCCCACACCATTACACCACCAGCCTGAACCGTTGAAACAAGGCAGGATGGATCCATGCTTTCATGTTGTTGACGCCAAATTCTGACTCTACCATGCAAATTTTGCAGCAGAAATCGAGACTCATCAGACCAGACAACGTTTTTCCAATCCTTTATTGTGCAATTTTGGTGAGCCTGTGAGAATTTAAGCCAGTTTCCTGTTCTTAACAGACAGGAGTGGCACCCGATGTGGTCTTCTGCTGCTGTAGCCCATCTGCCTCAAGGTTGGACGTGTTGTGTGTTCAGAGATGCTCTTCTGCAGACCTTGTTTGTAACGAGTGGTTACTGTAGCCATTCTTCCTTTCTAGTATGGCCATTCTCCTCTGATCTCTGGCATCAACAAGGCGTTTGTGCCCACAGAACTGCCGCTCACTGGATTTTTTCTCTTTTTCTGCCATTCTCTGTAAACCCTAGAGATGGTTATGTGTGAAAATCCCAATAGATCAGCAGTTTCTGAAATACTCCATCCAGCACCAACAACCATGCAACGTTAAAAGTAATTTAAATCAGCTTTCTTCCCAATTCTGATGCTCAGTTTGAACTGCAGCAGATCGTCTTGACCATGTCTACATGCCTAAATGCATTAAGTTGCTGCCATGTGATTGGCTGATTAGACATTTGCATTAACGAGCAGTTGGACAGATGTACAGTACTTAATAAAGTGGTGAGTGTAGATGTGTTACAGATCAGCTGTTCATTTCTTAAAGCAGATGTTTAGTCTGTTGAACATCAGCCAAAATTTCATGCAAAATATATGAAAACAAATATTGTAGCAGTGCAGAAACTCTCTGGAGTCAAGTGGTCTCACTGTCTACAACCTTTCTTAACCTTTTCTTTTTTACCTTTCTTTTTTGTCTAAACAGAAAGCATGCGACAGCTGGCAAATGCAGATCCCTCTTCTGACAAAAAATGCTCTACAATGTGACTGGAGATCACTTGAGAAGGGTCTAGATTGAGCAGACGCCAACCAGGATGCTGTTGAAAAACAGAGCGACGATGATGAAACTACAACTGCAGCGATGTGACCGAGAGGAAAACATTGCCTGTTCACACCAAGAGCAAATATTCACAGCAAACCAAACTTTAGATTGAAATGATGCATTTCTGAGGAAACGTTTGCCCCCGGGTGAGATGCATCTAATGACTGTTTTTGAGGAGGACAGGTATATTTCTCTTTTCTCTGCTGAAAAAAATCTCACAAAGAAATAACGTAATTATTTTGGTCATGCAGTTTTTTTTGCATGTCTTTCTGTCTTCTGTTTAATTGCAGATGCATTTTTATTCTGCTGTAATGCAACAGTTTTAGTATTAGGAACAGGTAATCTTACTGGTGCATTACCAAGGATGCAGAGTAACTCATACACTACCAGTCAAAACAGTATGGTTTGTCATTGTTTTATTATTGTTATTATTTTTGAAATCTCTTCCTCTCTCAAAGCTTGCGTTTAATTTGATCCAAAGTACAGCAAACACTTTACAAATGTTTACAGTGCATCCGGAAAGTATTCATAGCACTTATAATAAGGCTGTAAGGCTGGAAAAGTGAAGCGCTATGAACACTTTCTGGATGCACTGTTAATATATTTACTATTAGTTAACTGTCATCTATTTAAATATATCCCTGTAATTTCAAAACTGACTTTTTAGCATTATTAGTCACATGATCCTCTCAAATCATTCTAATATGCTGATTTGCAGTTTAAGAAACATTTATTGTTGTTGTTGTTATCAATATTTATTAACACGCAAGTATTTCAGGATTTTTTGATGATTCGAAGATCCGCATTTTTCCTAAATTAAATTAAATTGTAGTATTGCACACTATGCTGCTCAAAAACTTGAAGTGATGAAAAAGGTATTCATAATGTCACATGAGATGCATTTCAGATGAATGCTGTTTCTTTCGAACTTTCTATTGATTCTTCTAATCCACTTTTTTTCTACATAATAAAAGTAATAATAAATGTTTTTTTTTTAGCATCAAATCAGCATTTTAGAATGATTTCTGAACAGTCATTTGACTGGAGTTATGATGCTAAAAAATCTGCTTTTAAATCACAGAAAAAAATGACATTTTTAAATATGTTTAAATAGAAGTTTGAAATGGTATAAATATTTTAAAATATTTATACGTTCATAAATCAGGAAGCATTTTTTTTAGACAAGTACTTTTGTCTGGTTTTCAAAAGAAAAAAAAAAAAAGAAAAAATGGCAAGTTAAAATTTAGCAAGTTTTCCATAAAACAAAGTAAATCTGCAAGTGCTGTAAGTAAAATAAACTTGTTTTTAGATGATTTTACTTAACCAAAAGGCATTATTGTTTAGCTTCTTTTCTTTTTAGCAGAATCTCACTAAATTTGCATTTTTTTTCTTCCGAAAACAAGGAAAAAGTGTTTTTCTTGTCTAGAAAATGCTTCTTGGTTTAAGAATTTTTAGATATTTTTACTGGAAATAAGACTAGCATCTTACCAAGTAAGTATAGTCAATAAATTCTGTTGCAAAATATTTCGTTTTAAAAATGTTAGTGTGAACACTCGCTTATAGCCAACCTATTGCTAAAGGTTTTAGTTTTTTAGTCTGGACCAAAACAAAAAAAAATCTAAGTATGAACTCACTCTAAATGTGTGTGATGGATCTTAAAGGCTTGAACTTTTGTATATTGTGCTGTTAATGTGGGACAAAAAAAATGTGTTATTTGGAATAAACCCCTTCAGTGTTTCACGCAGAATTGGTTTTGGATGACAAAATCAATTTCTCGAGTTTTGATTAACCAGTATCAATTCTTAATTACAAAGAGTTGTAGTGAGCCTGCAAAAAAAGCATGACATAAACTGTATTTGCTTGATTTGTTAGTGTACTTGTTTTTAGGGACCAAAAGTGTCGACAGCTGAAAATTACGTTTGCAGTTTTTTAGCCACAAGAGAAAAATGTCTGCTTGCATCAGCGTTACGCTGGTAAAAATACCTTTCTCGGCTTGTTGAATATTACTGTCGATAAAATGTGGTTATTTTATTGGCTTGTAAATTCCTACAAAATTATTTTATATTATTTAATAAAATAATAAATAACTATTACAAAGCGTTTTGGTTTTCAGTCAAGTGCATTCAGAGTTTTTGGTTTCAGCCCAGAAATTCGATTTCAGTGCATCCCTACTTGTTTTAAAGTGATGGCAGGTGGTGTTAAGGTATTATTTTGTTTAACACTAACAGTCTGTTCATTTTTGGGATGTTCCAATACCCTTTTTCCCTTTCTGATACAGATTCTGATACCTGAGCTCAGAGTATCGGTTGATCCCAAGTACTGAACCGATACCTGAGGGTGTACCTGTAGAAACAGTTGTGTATACAGCTAGCCCTGTATAAATTGACAAAAATAATTTATGGTGTGCTTCAGACTTATCCATTAATAAAACACGAACATATACATATAGTCAACTACAATATGTTTATTATGTGACTATTTTACTATCAGATATTTAACAGTAATATTATTTACTATATTTAACTGAGACACAAATCAAACACCATAAACTGAAAAAAAATCTATTGAAGTTTTATAGCATAATTGTATAAAAATCAGAGCAAAAAATAAAGAAGTATAGAAAATAAATAACCCTTTAACTCTTTGAAACCCTGTTCTTCTTCACCTTTACTAACAGTAGTTGTTGTGACAACAAAGAAGAACTGACTCTGGGTTTACAGTATTCACTAAAGCTAGCTGGCATACTGTATGTCTCATTTAGAAAGTTGGTATCGGAGCAGTTTATGATTTCAAATACTGGCCCGTACTGATGCCAGAATATTTGCAGTATCGGGGAGTATTTCCAATACTGGTATCGGTGTTAATAGGCGAGTATTTCTGATACTGGTATTGGTATTAATCGGCGAGTATTTCCGATAGTGGTATGAGTATTAATAGGCGAGTATCTTCGATACCGCTATCAGTATTAATCGGCGAGTATTTTCGATAGTGGTATCTGTATTAATAGGCGAGTATTTTCTATACTTGTAACGGTATTAATAGAAGAGCATTTTCAATTTTAGTATCAATATTAATCGGCGAGTATTTTCCATACTGGTATTGGTATTAATAGGTGAGTATTTCCGATACTGGTATTGGTATTAATCGTTGAGAATATTTTCTATACTGGTCTTTGAATTAATCGGCGAGTATTTTTGATACTAGTATCGGTATTAATCTAAGTATTTCCGATACTGGTATCGGCATTATTCTAAGTATTTCCGATACTGGTATCGGTATTAATCGGTGAGTATTTTCTATACAGGTATCAGTATTGATCGGCTAGTATTTCCGATTCTGCTATTGGTATTAATCGGCGTGTATTGTCGATACTGGTATCGGTAATAATCGGTGAGTATAATCGGAGTGTATTCGCGATACTGGTTTCAGTATTAATCTTTGAGTATTTACAATACTGGTATCGGTATTAATTAGCGTGTATTTTTGATACTGGTATAGGAATTAATTGGCATGTTTTTCTGATACTGGTATTGGTATTAATCGGCGTGTATTGTCGATACTGGTATCGGTATTAATCGGCGAGTATTTTCTGATACTGGTATTGGTACTAATCAACGTGTATTGCCGATACTGGTATCGGTATTAATTGCCGTGTATTTTTGATACTGGTATGGGAATTAATTGGCTAATATTTCTGATACTGGTATTGGTATTAATCGGCAAGTATTTCTTATACTGGTATCGGTATCAGAATAACCCCAGTTAATTATTTTGATTTGATTGGATTTATTTTGAACCGTATAGTCAAAACCAAGACTCTTAAAACCAATTATTTAAACAAATATATTTAATCATAATTTACAAAACATCTCAAAAATAAAAACAGATTTTTAACTAGTTTGAAATGGACTGGGATGAATCACAATTTTATTAATATTTGTTTCTCCACCACATTACCCCCAATTCCACATCATCCAATCAATTCTTGAAATTTTTCCTTCGTTTATCTAATTTTATTTATTAATTAAATTCACATTGTGCTCAAAACTATATGCAGACAGTTTTTATGGCTTTTGTAAAGATTTCTAAACCTCAACAGGAATTATAGTGCAGAACTTGGCTAATATTGACGTATGAAAATGTTTCTGAGATCAGATGCAAATTTGCAGACACCAGTTGTTCTTGGTTAGTAACGAGACCATATATAGAAACGCCATTATTTATACAAACTCCAGTAACCTGTGTTGCAGACACTCTTAGACAAGTATATTCAATGCAAATGAAACAATCGACACCAGCCGTGTTTGAGGAACAGGCAGATGTTTTCTTTTGGATTGTTTTTGCCAAACTGTTTCATAGCAACACAAACTTGATAAACACAAATATTAGAACAGGAAGTTACTTTCCTGTAATTTTGTTGCTAGAAGGCTTCCTTCCAAGAAAGGGTTACGGATTGAAGCAAAACCCTGATCAAGAGTATTAAAATTGCAAAGGTGCTCTGAGCAGCTCTTAAGCCCAAAGTCTTTATGATTTATTTTTTCCCAGTAAGCCAGTCACATGCAGATATACAATGCCTACACACAACCAGTTGACTTTTCTTTTCTCTTTGTTTGATGCGGTGTTTAGTCAGAAATGCATTACAGTGCTGTGGTAGCGTTGGGTGCAACTTCTGTGGATGTTTTGATTCACCCTGGGTTGATTTTGGGCCCTATCATACACCTGGCGCGGCGCAATACTTGTATGGTAGTTTCAGCTTGGCGCAAGAGTCGTTATAGGCGTTGCGCTACGCTGTTTAAATAGCAAATGCATTAGCGCTCATATGTGCGTCCATAGGTGTTCTGGTCTAAAAAGGAAGGCGTTCTGAGGCGCACTGCTGGCGCGTTGCTATTTTGAGAAACTAAAATAGATTTTTCATTAGACCAAAACAAACCCGGTCTAAACTCCGGCGCAGAGTTGCGCCTCACTAACACACTGCTTAATACACAGAAGAGAGCAATAGGCAAATATCTTTACATATGAAAAAATTTAAATATTAAGGATATATATAGGATTTAAATATAAAGGATTAAAATATTACAAAACATATTATTTTCTAGCCTACATAAATATGAAAAAGCACTGCTTTTATGTCTTCTTCATCTCGGGAGGCTTTTTCAGTTCATTCATAACAATTAGCTTTTGTATAATGTTATTATTATTAGCATTATTATTTATTAAATCCATATTTATATTTGTTTTATTAAAAACAAGCTTAGATTTGCCCACCTGTCAGGTTTAAGACCATAAGGGGCACAGAATGTGTTTTAGGATATAACTCAGGTTTCTGAACACACTTCGTTATTATTGTTCATTTATTTGTTTGCTAGAAATTAGAACTGAATTTAGAAATAGTTTTGAAACAAATATTTGCACTTAACAAACACAATTAATTATTTATAGACTAATTGATGTCTGCTAAATGTTTCCCTATCCAAAAGTGAAAGTGATCCATATCTCTCATTCTCACGCAGTAGATGCTCTGTTTAACAGTTTTCTGTAAAAAAAAAAACTGTTAACTGTTTGTTAGTGAAATGCTAATTTTTTCCACTTAGACTTACTTTACGTCCTGTAAATAGCGAATGCGCTCTTGGCGCGATGCAGCTGGCTCTTAAAGGGAATGGGAGATGAAACTCTAATTGGTTTATTCTCAAAACACACCTATAACTCATTAAGAAAATAAAAACTCAACCCTTTTAGACCATGCGCCACGGCACAAAGCAGATTTTCCAGTTCGTAAATTAGCAAAAATGCGTTCTGACACGCCCTGAAAGCGTTTGCGCCCTGCGTTTTGCGCTCTTGCGCATGGACCGTCAAAATAGAGCCCTTTGATTCTTAATTTGCCCACAACATTCTCTGTTTTCAACAAATGGAATGATTTTGGGCGACAAATCTTATTTTCACACAAATTTTAGGAAAATGCTTTGAAATTTTTCTAAACAATACACTTTGGGCAAATTGACTTCTCTTTCGTTATGTTCGGGGCTGTTTTTGCCCTATTGACTTCCATTATAATGACAGTTTTTGTTTGCAAAGCCATGACCACGTATAACCATGCTTTTTTGATTGTTGCTCGTTTTCCCTGTTGGGAAGAGGCACAATGTCATTTTTACTGTTGATCATCAGTTACAGTGCAAAAAAAGGCTTAGTTTCTGCCTTCTATATGGAGTATACTGTGCATGTGTGTGTGTAAGAGAGATCATTGCACACTTACCTTGATATGTCTAAAAAAATCTAAATAAGCATCTCAGCTCTCTGAACATAGTCTGCTGTTTTACTCCATAGAACTCCATATAAAATAGGGCTGTGTATTGGCAAGGGCCTCACGATATGATACATATCTCGATACATGGGTCACGATATACAATAAATATTGTGATATATTGCAATAGTTTGTATTAGTATGTGCATCATGGTATATTGACAACTTGATCAAGTCAACAGACGAATTAAAATTCCAATTCCAGTTTATTTTCTATCCATTTTTATTCATTAGAACTGCACAGTGTGATTGAACAGAGAACTCACTGAAATGTATTAAATGCATATTGTGATTAAACATTTAACTAAAATGTATATGCCACTAAAGTCACATATAAATGCAATAAACGGTTTGTAAAACTAAAGCAAGTAAAAAAAAGAATAATAAAATGCATCAAGTAAACATAAAAATGGAAGACCGTGCTCTAATATGCGGTAAACTATTAGAAAGTGACAGTGCGACTGACAGCATCGATTTTGAACATTTTGCTGTAAAAACTGGTCGCACACAGGTAAATTGATGGCATGTGCGAAACATTTTACATGCAACATGCCGGCCAGCTGTGCTGCTACGGTCATGTTTGACGTCTTGTCTGTTACAGCGACAGGTCCTTCCATTTTATGTCCCATTCCCCCTATGCAGTTTTCAGTAACTCTGCAGTGTTAGTTGAGTTAGACGGAAGCTTGTTAATGATGTTATCCAGTGTAGTTTGCCTCAAGAGGTTTTGGTTGAGGTCGCAGAACTGCTAATTCATCTGTGTGGTGTCTTGTTAAGTGATAAGTTCGTAGTGTTTCCTGAATATTTTAAGATAGATTTGCAAAGCTTGCAAATGGCATTTTTGTCTAATTCAGTACTCTTGTAAAGTGTTAAAACCAAAGTGCAGCCACACGTCAGCTCTAAAAGCTGGAGGTTACTTTATATTTTCTTGCTTATCGGTACGTCTGATACCATACTACTTAGCGTTTTGTTGATAGCGAGTTACCGACATCTACTGGAGCAGAGGAGGAGGTTGTTTGGCCCAACTTGAATCGATACTTCAGATTGGACTATCAATACACTATCGTGAAAGGAATAATCGCGATAGATATATCGAATTTTTTTCACAGCCCTAATATAAAAGCTAGGAAAAGTTTTTGCACAGGCCTATCTAAGGGTTAATGGTGCCAACTGATGATCAACAGTGAAAATTACAAATTTGACCTCTTCCCAAGAGAAAAATCCACCAACAATTAAGTATGCATGATTACATGGTGTCAAGGCTTTGCAGTCAAAAAATGACAATATAATAGAAGTCAATGGGGCAAAAACACCTTAAATGGCCCCCCGCCAATTTGAGTTTGAGACACCTGGTCCAATGTATTGTAACTTTTATTTTACATGTTATTTTAAATCTTGACTTCTGAAGAACCTTCTTAAATTTGTTTGCTTGCCAAAAAGCTTTAATGGCCCGTTCGTTTAATATTTTTTATTGTGTGAACACTTTTATGAAGACTTGAATAATTTATACTGTGTAGCTGTAAAACTGATTTATACACAAATACCCTTTACAAATCTCCATAGGGAAGAAAATAATAATTATTAACAAGCCAAGAGGTAGATATATAGATAGATTTGTGGCCAATGCTGAATTATATGCTAAATTAAATGATTTAATTAAATTGTAGTAAATGAGTAATGATGATCTTTACCTGGCTTTTGTGGTTAAACATCTTTATTTTTTTAAAGTAAATACAGTGCTTCCCACAGGTTTGAAGTTTACTTGCGGTAGGAACCTGGATTGAAACATGCCTTTTACCCACATCACATTCATAAATAGTTTACTAAATGCGACAAACAAAGCATAATTAGATTTTAAAGACTTTCTTTTATTATTATCTGCTTTAAACCTTTTCTTTTCAGTGGGTTAAAGTACAACAAAATCCACTTATCTCTCTTTTATGCTATTCAGGAGGCATGTGCACCCACTGTAATGTAATGTGTATTTATATACACATTACATTACATTACAGTGACAGGTCAAATCTGCTTCTCTCTATCTCTTATTCAAGTTCAGGTTGCTTTATTGGCATGACATTTTGTACAGCATTTTAGAAGTATAAAATATGTAATATATTGACATCAAACTAATAAAATATACAGCAAATCAGAAATAAATGACTGAAAAAAGGAATAAAAACAGAAAATATCTTTAATAATTACAAGAATAATTTAAATAATGTAAAAATTTAAAAATTATTTAAAATGTTTTTATTTAAATCAGACAAATGAGTTGATTACCTATTTCTAAAGGTGTACAACTATTCTGCAGCCAGTTTGGATGTAATTTCATCCTCAGAGTATTTAGTTAAGTTTTTTAGAGTCGTTTAGATTAAAGAATTGATTATTTAATGTCTCTCTCGCCAGCTTAGAAAACGAAACAACAACCAAATCCTGGACATTTTAGTAGATTTAAAATTGCTGATCAGACGCAAAAAGGTATGGGTCTCTGGGTATGCAGAGTATGTGAGACTGAAAACGAGCAGTATGTAACAGGTAAACGAGAAGATTTTCCACTAAATCGCTTGTGGATGTTTTCTTATATTGGGTGGACACAAAAAAAAAAAAAGTGTAAAAGGATGATAATAATCGTAAAAAAAAAAAAAGTGTCACCAATTATACTCGGGCAGCCATTAATATTACTGGCCCACTCAAGTAAAGTCTATGTGTGGGAAGCACTGAAATAATGAAACGTTTTTTTTGTTTTTTTTTTAGATTAGATTTTCAGGACAAGAAAAAAATGGCATTCTGGCATTGAAACAAATTTCATTTTATATCAGTGCATGACTCCAAACAAACAACAGCAAAATGACATTAACAAACGCTCATAAAAACGAACCCAATACACAACAGAAAAACAACACCAACATACAAAAAGGCAGAAGATTAAAGAAGAGGAGTAAAAAGTGCTGAATTCAACACAGACGTGCGTTTTTATATGGTGTAATAAGGCAACCGGGTCAAAATATGGCATTTCATGAAAACCCTATTATCTATGAATTCACTTATTTACAGTCGGTCGTAATACTTATCAAAATATTGTTGCTTGTTTTTTTTCGTAAAAGTAAAAATAGGCTCATTCAAAGTCCGTTCACATTTACCAGAGCATATATGGTAGAAAAACAGAATACCAAAACGTGATCTCTGATTGCTGTGTGTCTGAATCCGATCGTTCACAGGATGTGTATCTCTACGATTCGTCTTCGCTCTCGCTGTTATTACTAAGATGTGTCCTCTGCACTTCCAGCTCCTCCGCGCTCACCATCTCCGGACTGATAGCTGCGTAACGTGTACCGTGAAACTGACGCAGATGTATCTGCAGAGTGAAAACAGAAAGCCATAAAAAGATTTCAAGAGATCACACTTAGCTAATGATTGATTGTAAAGCTTATTTGGCATGCTGTCCCGGGAGAGAGCCCTGAGCTCATAAGATCCTCGAGCCCGGAGCTCCCTCCCGTTTGCAAGGCGAGAGAAGGATTCTTCTAAATGAAAGTTGCTGACATAGGGAACTTAGGGTATTTATAGTGGCTTAGGAATCGTCTGATTGGTGAATCATGAATTGGATAATACGGGACCAGCCGCAAGCAATCATAAGCACGTGATCCTCTCCAAATTAGTTTAAAGTTGTTTTTTTTTTAAGATGTTAGTATTAGTATTGTTAGTTTTTAGGATATCTATAAGTAATTGTGCTCCAAAACACTGACAAAACTCGCATTTAGAAGATATAAACATGTAAAGCTTGTAGTTTGTCACTTCCGCCTATATAGATCAATGGTTTTATTCACATCACCTCATACTTCAGTTTCTCATCAAATCGTGACCAATCAAATGAGTCAAATCATTAGAAATGTGAGAACAGGCGGATTACCGTCCTGCGGTGCGAACGACATGGAATATGCGACGTGTGTGCCGCAAACATGCAAAATGATCTCAACTGTGTTGGCCAATCAGAAATCGATTCTTATTGGCTGTTAGTTGTGTAATTTTATAGTTCGTCAGAGAGAAAAAAAATATGATTTTTAACAATTTTGTTAAATTGTTTTATAAACTTTGTTGTTTATAAAACAATTTAGCTAGAGCCATCAAATTTGTTGTTATGATTATAACTGAGGTTTGGACTTCCCGTTTTCATAGAATAATGCTGTGTTCAAGGGCGAGGCAGTTGCGCAGTAGGTAGTGCTGTCGCCTCACAGCAAGAAGGTCGCTGGTTCGAGCCTCGGCTGGGTCAGTTGGCGTTCCTGTGTGGAGTTTGCATGTTCTCCCTGCGGTACAGGGACATTGCTCTCGACATGCGGTACAGGTGAATTGGGAAGGTTAAATTGTCTGTAGTGTATGAGTGTGAGTGACAGTATATGGATGTTTCCCAGAGATGGATTGCGGCTGGAAGGGCATCCGCTGCGTAAAACATATGCTGAATAAGTTGGCGGTTCATTCCGCTGTGGCCACCCCAGATTAATAAGTGGACTAAGCCAAAAAAAAGAATGAATGAATGCTGTGTTCACACCAGACCCAGCTTGCGTGAATAAATTGCGCTATTTGCGCATAAATAGACACATGAACATTTTGAGTTGACTCACTTAATTCGCGAGGCAAATTCGTTTAATTTTTGTATCAAATTCACTTCACAAAAGATGTGGATTTGCGTTATAGGCAAGCCTTTTAATGATGAACTCACAGAGCCTGGTGCATCTCTGAAGCATCTAGTGGTCTCAGACACGGAACGAATATATGCTGTTTTTCAGCCTTCCTAAAGCACAGCTATTACCTTAATAAAATCCATGTTAGCTATTTAGCAAGGAAACTATAGTCACTGGGCAGATAGAAGCCCTGCCCATGACGCAAACCCGCATCTATTGTGATGTGATTTTGACATGCGAATAAAGCGAACTTGATATGCAAATGAAGCGAGTAAACTGTTTGACTTTGGGACTGTTGCGTGTGGCGTTCACTCCTGCCCTTAATAATTACTTTCAATTGATCTTGTTTGTCCTTTTCAGTTTTCTATTGGTTAATCTGGTGGCGTCAGGCCTTTAAAACGAACGGAAGCGGACTTCTACGGCCCTCATTCCTCCACGCCACCACAGTCTTTGACGGCTTTATTGTTGTGTTCTCCTTTATGCTTTCCTTTTGATATTTGTTTAGAGTGGGGAGCTCCAACCTGCTTTAGGTTTGTTTGGTTGTTCTTTATTATGTTGTTGGGCTCCCCATCTCTTGTCATTTTGGATTGTTTTGTTGGTTATGTTATGTTAATAAATAATTTAGCTGGAGCACTTTGGCCGTTGTTTATTATGTTACGTTGTCTTTTGGTCACGAGTCTTATTTAAGTTAGGGACCGTAACAGGGACATATCACCACTGGCATACATACTGGCAGCTTTAGTATTACATTTATATTTTCCAAGAAAGGCATAATGCCGTGTTCACACCAGACATGGAAACTCAAAATATTCACATGTATTATGCATATTTACGTGCAAATAAATCACGATATTCATATAAATAGACACCTGAACATTTTAAGTTTCCACGTCTGGTGTGAACGCAGCATTATGACTTTCTTGGAAAATATAAATGTAACACTTAAGCCGCCAGTAGGTGGCGTTATGTCCCAGAGTCACTCATTGAGTCATTTATTCAAACAAATTATTCAAGGAGGTGGATCTATTTAGCAACAAGTCACGTAACTAATGTAACGCACACTGTAGAGTAGGCGAAAAACAGAATATGACAAAATAAATATGTGAATTCAAAAGGTAGTCAGAAAACACATGGTCAATATGATGAATGCACTACATCCAGATTAGCTTCAAATTACACACATTAACAGTATTATACATCAATACAGCCACTGTGTTTTTAAATGGATCACTGATTTGATTCATTCAATATCGCACATTCCTACTTGAACACTGTTTACTACAGTTGCAGGAAATTCAAATCTTCTTTATTTAGTGCAGAAGAAAATCAGACATTCGTTTGGAACAATACAAGTAAGTAAATGAATGACAATATTTTCATTTTGGTTGGTGTTGATCGATTAAATGTTACTTACTTGTATGTACAGGTTGACTTCTGCGCTTCTGCAGAGATAAGGGAAGTTCCCGCCAGTTTTGAGGTGAGCTCTTCTAGCATTGGGGTACAGCTTATACATCTCTTCTTTTGCCTCCTGTGACAGGGCACTCTGATCAAACACCTGAGAGAAAAGAAGAGAGAAGTATTTATTTTAATATAAATATAATTTGAGGCTGCAAATTTAGTTATTTGGTTGAAATGTTATGTATGACTATATGTACAGTTGAAGTCGATTATTAGCCCCCATGTGTACGTTTTCCTTCATTTTTGTTTAATGGAAAGCAAATTTTCTTCAGCACATTTCTAAACATAATAGTTTTAATAACGCATTTCAAATAACTGATTGATATTTGCTTCGCCATGATGACAGTAAATAATATTTTACTAGATATTTTTCAACATATTAGTATTCAGCTTAAAGTGATATTTAAAGGCTTAACTAGGTTAATTAGGCAAGTCATTGTATAATGATGGTTTGTTCTGTAGACAATCAAAAAACAAATATTGCTTAAGGGGGCTAATAATATAGACCTTAAATGTTTTAAAAAAAATTAAAACTGCTTTAATTTCAGCCAAAATAAAAAAAAAGACTTTCTCCAGAAGAAAAGAATATTATAGGAAATACTGTGAAATATTAGGAAATATTTAAAAAAGAAAACAAAATTCATAGGAGGGCGAATCCTTTTGTTTTATTTGTTTAGTGACGTTTAGTTTAATATTTGATTTATTCTATAAGGGTTTGATGATATTTCTCCCTCATTTCATTTTTAAAATATTGTCATTGTGATTGTTAAACAGTATTGATAAATCAACAGTATGATGATTTATTGGAAAATCAATTGAAAATCATTTATTATTAAATAAAAAAAAAAATATATATATATATATATATATATATATATATATATATATATATATATATATATATATATATATATATATATATTATTATTATATATTTATAATTATTAATATATATTAACTCCTCTATAGGTAAAATATTGGTATTGTGTTGTCTGAAGAGTATTATACACATAAGCCTTTTTAGGTATTTTATAGGAGGTAAAATGCTTTAAATTACTTTTCTTTTTTCTTCTTCTTTTGAAAGAAATGTCATCAATAGCTTGCAGAATAAAACCAAAAAAATATTTTACTCAAACACTACCATCAAAAGTTTAGGGTCAGTAGGATTTTTAAATGTTTTAAAATAAGCTTCTCCTGCTCAACAAGGCTGCATTTGTTTCATCAATAATACAGTACACATTGTAAAATGGTATTGCATTATAGAATAACTGTTCAAAAGTAGTTTATTACTTAATTAATCATTTATTCCAGTGATTTTCGAGATTAATGTTCAGCTTCATTACTCCAGTCTTCAGTCACATGATCCTTCAGAAATCACTGTAATATCATTTCTTCTTCTTTTTATTATTATTATTAATGGTAATAGTAAAAAAGCAATAATGACTGGAGTAATAATTTGAAACTACATACAATAAGAAAGTTATTAACACTAACAAATGTTTTTTTTTTTTTTTTACATTAATGTACAAAAAAATGAAGAAAAAAAAAAATGACCCCAAACTTTTGACCGGTAGTGTAGGAAAACAATTTTAAGCAAACTAAATAAATTATTTATAGCAATAAAAAAAATATTTGATTATTTATTTTATTTATTTTAAATATTAATATTAGTTAAGAGCAACACGGTGGTGCAGTGGGTAGCATGACTGCCTCACAGCAAGAAGGTCACTGGTTCGAGCCCCGGCTGGGTCAGTTGGCATTTCTGTGTGGAGTTTGCACGTTCTCCCTGTGTTGGCGTGGGTTTCCTCCGGGTGCTCCGGTTTCCCCCACAGTTCAAAGACATGCGGTACAGGTGAACTGACTAAGCTTAATTTTGTGTGTGTGTGCGTGTGTGTGAGTGAGAGAGAGAGAATGTAAGAGTGTATGGGTGTTTCCCCCAGTGTTGGGTTGCAGCTGAGAGCATCCACTGCGTAAAACATTCTGGATAAGTTGGCGGTTCATTCCGTTGTGGCGACTGCTGATTAATAAAGGGACTAAGCCAAAAAGAAAATGAATGAATGAATATTAATACAAAAATAATAATATTAAATAATTAAAAATATTACAAATATTAATTTACAAATATATATTTTTCCTAATTAAAAAAATGTTTGTACAAAAAAAGACACTTATGCTTCCCTCCCCAGCAAAAAACAAACACACAAATATTAAAAAAGTAATATTGTGAAAACTTTTCTATTTTAAAATGAATATTTGCAGCAATGACACAACTGATTTATCAGCATCATAACTCTTGTGTTCAGTGTCACATGATCCCTCAGAGATCATTCGACAGTATTGTGCTGATTTGGATGAAAAAACTTACTTCTATTCAGCACTAATGCATGTATTACAAGAGTAATGCATTGCAAACTTCCCATTTAAAAAAATGCTTTACAAAAGTTCACGATATTACTGTTTTCCAATCCAACAAATACAATCTTAGTGGGCAAAATAGAATTACATTTACAAGACCACCTACATCCATTATGGTGACTGCGATGTCCTTAATCTTGTGTGGTTCCACGTAGGAGTTTTGGCAGTTTAGCGTCAGTCGAGAGGCGAGTTCACTCTGGTTCAAGCTTTCCAGCTAAAACGCAAAGAAACAGGGTGCATTTTGTTGATAAATGAGGAAAGAGTGAGACAGATTTACCTTCACACATCAGTATGAAATCTACGACTAACTACATCAGCTGAGGCACGAGCACTAAAATTCAATTTGATTCATTTGTGCCCAATAAACTTTAGAGAATTAGCATGTTTATTCATTTGAGCGGATTCTGGGTCAGGTTTCATGCTCTTATAAAGCCCTATTCAGATGGTTATTGTTTCTGAAGTCAACATACTGTAAGGGATTTTTAATATTTACAGGGGATAGCTGGTGACTTTATAGCCATCCAATTGGTCTGTTTTTTCTTTCTCTCTTAAAACTCATGTGATAATTAATGATCTAATTATCTACCGTTTTATGTCTTTTTTTTGTATGAACATTGCAGTTGAGTTGATTTAATTGGCATATGAATCTACAGTGTTTAATAGAGATCAATCCAAAGCCATTTTGGGCTTTATTTATGTGAGGAATTTATTTTATTCAGCTTGTTCTTTCGAAGATATTATTAACGCTTTTTTCATGCAGTCTCTTCATTTTTTGCTTACTTTTTTGTAGTTGCTTTGTGTAGTAAGACTGAGAATATGAAATGTTGCTATTTTCTTGATATAGCTAGCACTATACTCTTATTCAATATATAAAATCTTTTTTTTTTAAATAACAAATATTAATTACATTTTTTTTTCAAGCCGACTTTTAATTAAAAAAAATATATATATATTTTTGAAAGTTTCTCATACTCATTTTTCCCCCACAAAGAAAACATACAGGGATCAATCAAAAGTAACTTTGGACTTAATTTATTGTGTTCTTTCAGTATTGTATTTAACTTCAAATCTTTTGAAGACATGTAGTGACTTTTGAAGTCATTTTTGAAGACAAACTTTTAAAGCAAATCCAGTTTTGGAGTTTTTTTAGCATAAAATAAATTGTTAAACATTATAATAAACATGTAATATACATCTATAATATTTCATAACATTTTCTCACAATGAAAATTGCCATAGAAGCTGCCATGGTGGTAAACAAATGTCATTTTCTAAATCCTTTTTGGTCACAAGTCAATGGCTACCAGTTTCCAACATTCTTCAAAATATCTTCTTTTGTGTTCAAGAGAAGAATTGCACTAATATAGATTTAAAACAAGTGGAGGGAAAGTAAATTTGAACTATCCCTTTATTGCTACATAAGACACAAAAGAAGATATTTTGAAGAATGTTGGAAACCTGTAGCCATCGACATTTATAGTAGGAGGAAAAAAATACTATGGAAGTTAATGGTTAACGGTTTCCAACATTCTTCAAAGTATCTTCTTTTGAGTTCAATAAAAAAAGAGACAAATATAGGGTAAAAACAAGTGGAGGGAGAGTAAATTTGAACTATACCTTTTGTTACATAAGACACAAAAGAAGATATTTTGAAGAATGTTGGAAACATGTAGTTATTGATATCCATAGGAAGAAAAAAAAATACTATGGACGTCCATGGCTACTGGCTTCCAGCATTCTTCATATATAAGGTTAGAACAAGTTTAGGGTGAGTAAATTTATTATTAAGACACAAAAGTAGATATTTTGAAGAATTTTGGAAACCTGTACCCATAGACATCCATACTAGGAGGGAAAAAAACTTATGAAAGTCAATGGTTACCGTTTTTTTAGCATTCTTCAAAGTATCTTCTTTTGTGTTCAACAGAAGAAAGACTAATATAGGGTTATATCAAGTGTAGGGAGAGTAAATTTGAACTATCCCTTTATCATTACGTAAGACACAAATGAAGATATTTTTTAAAATGTTGGAAAGCTGTAGCCATCGACATCCATATTTAGAGGGAAAAAAATAACTGTGGAAGTCAATGGTTACCGGTTTCCAACATTCGTCAAAATGTCTTCTTTTGTGTCCAACAGAAAAAAAGAGACAAATACAGGGTAAGCACAAGTGGAGGGAGAGTTGATCTGAACTATCCCTTTATCGTTACGAGACGCAAATGAAGATATTTTGAAGAATGTTGGAAACCTATAGCCAATGACATCCATACTAAGACGAAAAAAATACTATGGAAGTCAATGGTTACCGGTTGCCAACATTCTTCAAAATATCTTCTTTTGTATACTACAGAATATAGGTTTAGAACAAGTGGAGGGAGAGTAAATCCGAACTATCCCTTTATCATTACATGAGACACAAATGAAGATATTTTGAAGAATGTTGGAAACCTGCAGCCATTGACATCCATACTAAGAGGAAAAAAATACTATGGAAGTCAATAGTTACCGGTTGCCAACATTCTACAAAATATCTTCTTTTGTGTTCAACAGAAGGAACAGACTAATATAGGGTAAAAACAAGTGGAGGGAGAGTAATTTGAATCTCTTTATCTTAACATTTAACATGATTAAATTTTTCTATCAACAGTTTTAGACTTTTAAAAATGACATAAGTTAAAGAAGATTAAAACACTCACTCTGTCAACCATGAAGTCAATTGCGTCTGCCATTTTTGGGTCCACAGGTCCTTTGGCGAAGTTACCAAGCACAATCTTTTTGAGCATAAATGAAGGCATCAACCAGAAACTAGAAAAGGAGCATCAGAGATGAGTGAAAGATTCAACAAAGACGAAGACGAGCATTCAGTCTGAGTCTCCACCTGTTTGCGGTCCATGTCTGGTTGAAGATGGACGTGTCACTAAATGAATTGCACAGGACCAGAGAGTGAACTCGAGGCGATTTGTACGTGACTTCGGCAAATTTCTGAGCCAGGAATCCACCCAGAGAAGCACCAAACAAATGCACCTGCACCGAAACCAACAGAACGAGAGAGAAACTTCAAAAATAGGTAGTGAGAAAAGACACATTTTTCAAAGACTCTCAAATTCTCCATACCTTGTCCAGTTGTAAATGGTCCAAAAGCTTTCTAAAACCATCACAAAATTCCAGCAGGTCCCAGTAGACTGGATACTGGAGCTGGAAAACACGATTGCAAATCATGGGATAAACCAAAAGTCTCAGAGGAGAAAACACATGATAGGTAAACAAACCACATAATGCTTTCAGTTGTTAAAGCAACACTCCACTTTTTTGAAAATAGGCTTGTTTCAAGGCTTTTTACAAGTCCCCTAGAGATAAATGGTTGAGTTCTACCATTTTTTTTTATCCATTTAGCTGATCTTTGAGTCACTTTTATTCATTTTCTTTCCATCATTTTCTTGTCGGCTTTGTCCCTTTATTTATCCAGGGTCGCCACAGCGGAATGAAGCGCCAACTTATCCAGCACATTTTTACATTTTCCACACACACACATTCATACACTACGGACAATTTAGCTTACCCAATTCACCTGTACCACATGTCTTTGAACTGTGGGGGAAACCGGAGCACCCGGAGGAAACCCACGCGAACGCAGGGAGAACATGCAAACTCCACACAGAAACGCCAACTGAGCCGAGGATCGAACCAGCGACCCAACAACCTTCTTTAAGTCAGTTTAAGCATAGCATAAATTATTTAATCGGATTAATATCATTGTGCTTTCAGCTTAGCTTAGCATAAATCATTGAATCGGATTGGACCATTAGCATCTCGCTCAAACTGACCTGAGTTTCGATAATGTTCTTATTTAAAGCTTCACTCTTCTGTAGTTACATTGTGTAATAAAACAGACAGATATATAAAATGTTGCCATTTTCTAGGTCGATATGGCTGGGAACTATACTCAGGAGTGATAATATGACTTATTCTGTATAATAATTAAGGCACTTTGTTTCTGTACTATGACTAATAATATTACACAATGCTGTTACCTATCTGGGGACTATTTTCAGGTGCTGGATAATATCAGTGCTTTCTGCAGCCATAGGTAAACAAACCACTCAAAGCTTTCAGTTGTTAATGGAACACTCCACTTTTTTTTTTTTAAATAGGCTCATTTTTTTTTACAAGTCCCCTAGAGGTAAATGGTTGAGTTCTATCATTTTTGAATCCATTTAGCTGATCTTTGAGTCACTTTTAGCATAGCATATATTATTGAATCTGATTAGACCATTAGCATCTCAAATACAACCAAAGTGTTTTGGTTATTTTCATGTTTATAGCCCGACTCTACTGTACCGTAGTTATTTTGTGTAAAAAGACCAACAGAATATGAAACGTTGCTACTTTCTTGGTCGATAAGGCTAGGAACTATACTGTGGAGTGAGATTACTTATTCTGTATAATAATTAAGGCACTTTATTTTTTTTTTTTTTCCAAGTCCCCTAGAGATAAATGGTTGATTTTTTTTTAATGATTTTTAAATCCCTTTATCTGATCTTCGAGTCACTTTTAGCTCAGCTTAGCATAAATCATTGAATTGGATTAGACCATTAGCATCTCAAACACGACCAAAGTGTTTTAGTAATTTTCATGTTTATAGCCCGACCCTTCTGTAGTTATTTTGTGTAATAAGACCAACAGAATATGAAACATTGCCACTTTCTTGGTCGATAAGGCTGGGAACTATACTGTGGAGTGATGAGATGACTTATTCTGATGTAATAATTAAGGCACTTTGTTGTCGTATTATGACTAATAATATTACACAATGTTGTTATCTGGGGACTATTTTCAGGCACTACATAATATCATTGTGCTTTTTTTTTTAAAATAGGTTTGTTTATTTTTTTTTTTACAGGTTCCCTACAGATACATGGTTGAGTTTTATCATTTATTAATCCCTTTAGCTGATCTTAGAGTCACTTTTAGCTCAGCTCTGCATAAATCATTGAATTGGATTAGACCATTAGCATCTCAAATATAACCAAAGTGTTTTAGTTATTTTCCTATTTAAAACTTGACTCTTCTGTAGTTACTTTGTGTAATAAGACTGACAGAATGTGAAATGTTGCTATTTTCTTGGTCGAAGTGGCTAGGAACTATACTGTGGAGTGATGATATTACTTATTATGATGTAATAATTAAGGAACTTTGTTGCCACACCATGACTAATTATTTTACACACAGCTGTTACCTTTCCCAGAGATGGGTTGCAGCTGGAAGGGCATCGGCTGCGTAAAAAGGTGCTGGATAAGTTGGCGGTTCATTCCACTGTGGCGACCCCGGATTAATAAAGGGACTAAGCCGACAAAGAAATGAATGAATGAATGACAGCTGTTACCTATCTGGGGACTACTTTCAGGCTTTCTGCAGCCATGGTACGACATAAAAGTTTCTTAATTATTACGTCAGAGTAAATGTATAGTTCTTAGCCATATCAGCATAGAAATTAGCAATTTAGTACATGTACTGTAACTACAGTAGAGTTAAGCAGTAAATGAAAAAATGATCAAAACTTTTTGTGTGAGATGCTAATGGTCTAATCTGATTTAATGATTTATGCTAAGCTAAACGTTTGTGTAATATTATTAGTCATGGTATTGCAAAACAGTTCCTTGATCATCACTCCAGAACAAGAATACAGTTCCTAGACATATCGACCTGGAAAATAGCAACGTTTAATTTTCTGACGGTCTTATTACACAACGATAACTACAGAAGAGTCATGCTATAAACAGGAAAATTACTAAAACTCTTTGGTCATATATGAGATGCTAATGGTCTAATCTGATTCAATTATTTATGCTAAGCTAAAAGTGCTCCAGCCAGACCAAGAGATCCACTGAATTGATACTAAAATGGTAAAACTCAATGGTTTAATTCTAGGGGAATGTTAAAATGAGCATCATTAAAGCGGAGTGTTCCTTTAAACGGATAGTTCAACCAAAAATGAAAAATTCCACACTGTTTACTTACTTATGTGGCTCTAAACAGTTAAAATTTTCTTCTGTTGAACACAAAAAAAGATCTTCCTTCGTGTTCAACAGAAGAAAGCAACACAAACCGGTTTGGAAGAAGTGGAGGATGAGTAAATGATCGCAGTATGTTAGTTTCTGGATGAACTATCCCTTTAACAGATATCTGTTCCAGCAGGTCTCTGTCTCTAATTGAAATGTAAAAGAAACATACGGAGATGACACGGTAGCCCCATCCCGACAGAGCCAACACTTGCTGGAAGAAAACCTCTGCAGTGCCGCTCACGGGTGGCAGGAAGATGATGGGACACCTGATACTTTTGGGCCCGGCGTCATACAGCGACCAGACTTTACTGTCATCATCATCCACGATTATCTGAAGAAGACACACGGGCAAGAATTCTCACAAATATGCTAGATAAACGTAACAATGATTTTTACAAATTATTATACACATAGTAACTTACACTTTCAACAGCACGTTGTCTACCTCAATTCATAGACACATATTGACAGACAATATAACAGTAAGTATAATAATAAGCAAAAAACAATCTAGATAGATAGATAGATAGATAGATAGATAGATAGATAGATAGATAGATAGATAGATAGATAGATAGATAGACATTCAATATGATAGATAGATAGATAGATAGATAGATAGATAGATAGATAGATAGATAGATAGATAGATAGATAGATAGATAGATAGATAGATAGATAGATAGATAGATAGATAGATAGATAGATAGATAGTTCATTCTGCTGTGGTGATCACTGATTAATTAAGAACTAAGCTGAAGGATGATTGTATATGCTAAATGTCAAAGTGTATTTTTTCAGGTTGTTAAATTAGTAATTGCATTAATCTTTAAAAAATTAATAAATAAATGCAACTATAAAAAGATATAGTTAACCAAAAAAAAGTACTTTATTCTGTTGAGCACAAAAGGAAAATATACTGAAAAATGTTGGAGAAAATAGCCATTGTTGAGATCAAGTGTTTTTGTTCCTGAGCTGCACGACATTGCGATATTTTTTTGTCTGCAATATATATTGCGACATGAGTATGATTTAGCAAGATATCTATTTTGAAAAAACTCTCAATTTTACATTGATTGTGATGATTTGTGGGGGAGTGCATCTGCATAAAATCTACAAAGTTATATAATGTAAAGCACAGATGAAAACAATAGAACAGATAAAAATGAAATAAACAACACTTTATGATTTTTGGTGTAAACAGTATTGAGATATAGAAATTTTATGATGATCAAATGTAAAATAACAGCGTCTTATTTTTATAAATATATCATTTATATATTTTTGTTCAACGTTATGTAAATTATATACTTTTTCTTCTATTTATAATCATATAAACCCAATCAACTGAATCTAATCTAACAGTTAAAGCAGAAAACGTTATAATGTCGTGTGTCCAAGTGGTTTAAATTAACTTGAGACTCTGCGATGCGACTTGCAGATTCACGCATTGCAATGTTGAAACGATATGTTGTGCAGCGCTAGTTCTTACTATGAACTTCAATGGCTGCTTTTCCAACATTCTTCAAAATATCTTGTTTTGTGTCGAACAGAAGAAATTCATGAACGTTTAAAAACACTTGAGAGTGGGTAAATGATTATGGCATTTTCATGTTGAGTGTACTAACATACCTGTAATAAACAATAGCAAGCGTGCCACAACAGGCGTTATTTATTTGTCACACTTTGATTCACTGACTTCAATAGCGTATTGATTCATTCGATAAACGATTCTTTTTAATCTTTTCAGAATGATTCACCAATTCAAATGATTCCGTGTCCGAATGATTCAGTGAGTCAAGAGTGTCATCGGTTGTTTACTTGTATCACAGTGTCTAGTTCAGACAGCAGTGTGTGTGTGACACAGCTGTCCATAGCATCTCCCCGAACAACGTGTTTTGTAAATTCAGATGTACGATTGATTTTTATTTAACTTCGAAACTCAGCTAAATAGTTTTTATTATTGTCGGGCCTGTGTTGAATGGCTTTCAGCGGGTTAGCTCTCAGCTAGCGCTAACCTTCTAGCGCTCATCAAATTCAACCGGTTCAGTTCGTTAAAAACACACAACAGCACTGAAAATGTCGTGCACGTGTGCTATAGCAGCGAGAAAATTCATAAATTCAGCTCATAAAGGTAAGAAGAGATTCATATTTTGATAAATGTTGATGTTTGTTTATTTCTTAGCCTTAGTTTGGCTAGCACTGCTGCTAGTGCGCTCAACAATGTATAAACAAAACAAAACATTGATGTTTAGTTATATAAATAAGCTTTTATTTTAGACAGTTTGTTTTTTTAAAGGTAAAAATATACATAACATCGGATGATTGATAAGTAATTGTATCATATGTGCATCTGTGAGAGCGTTGTTTATGTAACCATTACCATACTGTAAAAATGACAACCTTCGAGTTGTTAATGAGTACTGTTGTTATATTAAACGTATTAAAATGTCAACCTACGATATAATAATGAATGTATTAAACGTACGAAGTTATTTTTTGGCTAGTTTATTTTGAAATGTGAAAAACATAGCTAAATTTTGTAAGACATGATTCTTGATAATTGTATATCCACACATAAGTTACGTGAGTTGTTTATGTAACCAGACTGTTTATTAAAATGACAACCTTCGAGGTGTTAATGTATACAATAAAATGACAACCTACAAAATATGAATGAATATATAAAGCGTACAAGTTTTGTGTGCCGGATTGATATTTTTAAATCTTTAAAAAATCTCAAATTTGATGACTCTTGTACTCAATTTTTTTTTTCTTGTTGGATTGAATTTCTTATTGAGTGAAATGTATTATTTTCATGCCACTGTCATTATTTTAGACAGTGTTTTTTTTTTTTATAGTAAAAATATACACAACATCGGATGATTGACAACTAATTGTATCATATGTGAGTTGTTTATGTAACCTGACTGTTTGTTAAAATGACAACCTTCGAGGTACTAAAAAATGTTATATTAAACGTATTGAAATGACAACCTACGATATATTAATGAATATATAATACATACTAAGATATGTTTTGGCTAGATTGTTATTTTTAAATGTGAAAAACATAGCTACATTTTGTAAGACATGATTCTTGATAATTGTATATCTGCAGATACAGTTGAAGTCAGAATTATTAGCCCCCCTTTGAGTTGTTTTTCTTTTTTAAATGTTTTCTACATGATGTTTAACAGAGCAAGGAAATTTTCACAGTATGTCTGATAATATTTTTTCTTCTGGAAAAAGTCTTATTTATTTTATTATGGCTAGAACAAAAGCAGATTTTAATTTTTAAAAACCATTTTAAGGTCAAAATAATTAGCCCCTTTAAGCAAATTTTTTTTTTTCGTGATAGTTTACAGAACAAACCATCATTATACAATGACTTGACCTGCCTGGTTAACCTAGTTAGACCTTTAAATGTCACTTTAAGCTGTATAGAAGTGTCTTGAAAAATATCTAGTACAATATTATTTACTGTCATCATGGCAAAGATAAAATAAATCAGCTATTAGACATGAGTTATTAAAACTATTATGTTTAGAAATGTGTTGAAAAAATCTCTCCGTTAAACAGAAATTGGGTAAAAAAAAATAAAAGGGGGCTAATTATTCAGGAGGGGTAATAATTCTGACTTCAACTGTATGTGGGTTGTTTATGTAACCAGACTGTTTGTTAAAATGACAACCTTCGAGGTGTTAAAAAAATGTTATATTAAACTTATTAAAATTACAACCTACGATATATTAATGAATATATAAAACATACTAAGTTATTTTTTGGCTAGATTTTTATTTTAAATGTGAAAAACATAGCTAAATTTTGTAAGACATGATTCTTGACAATTGTATATCCACACATACAGTTGAAGTCAGAATTATTAGCCCCCCTTTGAGTTATTTTTCTTTTTTAAATGTCTTCTAAATGAAGTTTAACAGAGCAAGGAAATTTTCACAGTATGTCTGATAATATTATTTCCTCTGGAGAAAGTCTTATTTGTTTTATTTCGGCTAGAAAAAAAGCAGCTTTTAATTTTTTTTAAGCCATTTTAAGGTCAAAATAATTAGCCCCTTTAAGCAATTTTTTTTTTTCGTGATAGTTTACAGAACAAGCCATCATTATACAATGACTTGACCGGCCTGTTAACCTAGTTAGACCTTTAAATGTCACTTTAAGCTGTATAGAAGTGTCTTGAAAAATATCAAGTACAATATTATTTACTGTCATCATGGCAAAGAAAAATATCTCTCCGTTAAACAGAAATTGGGTAAAAAAATGAAAATAAACGGGGGCTAATAATTCAGGAGGGGTAATAATTCTGACTTCAACTGTATGTGGGTTGTTTATGTAACCTGACTGTTTATTAAAATGACAACCGTCGAGGTGTTAATAAGTATATTAAACATTAAAATGACAATCTACATAATATGAAAGAATATATAAACAGTCATTTTTGTTGGCTTGATTGCTATTTATTAATCTTAAAAAAGCTATAATTTCGTAAGACATGATTCTTGTACCTTCAAATATTTTTGTTCTTGTTGTATTGTATTTCTTGTAAAGTAAAATGTATTTTTTTCATGCCAATATCCTCCTTGTGCTCTCCAAACAATGATGCATTGATGTGATCAGGTTATTGTTATTTTTGATGTTATTTTTGAGGGAATTTCCTCTTGAAGCATTAAAATTTTTTGTGTTTGTGCCCCAGGAATATCCGGCTCCAGGGTCCAGTTACTGTCACTGAGCCGTCCAGGGACCCGTGAGGTTCGTCTGGCACGCCGCGTCCCTGTGAGATCCTTCTCAGAGACGGCTGTGTATTATGCATCAAAGGATGGAGTAAAAGATGGAGATGGTGGGAAGGTGAGATTAGATATAGATCTAGATATATATGCAGTTGAATGCACAACTTTTAGCTCTTCTATCAAAATAAATATTATAAGTAAATTTATTTCACTAATATTTCCCATGTGATGTTTAATGAAGCATTTACAAGGGTATCTGCAGGGTCTTAAAATGTCTTAAATTTCAAAAACAAAATTTTAGGCGTTAATCTCTGTGTACTGGGTGTGTGGCATCATTTACTTCTACATTCTTTACATTTTAAAGGTTCTTACTGACCCAATACCTCTAAAAGTGGTTCCGTTCTCTCATCAGCTGGTATTATATAACTTTTGCATAGATTTTGATAAAGACATTTTTCTTTTTTTCTATGATTACTGACATGTGCAGGAACCAACCAAGTTAATTACAGCAACCTAGACATCACAGAAACATAAAGGTAAACTTTCAAATTGAAGTTTACAAAAAGAAAAAAAGCGCCTTTTTTGGAGGGGTTTATTATAACACAGACAACATACACCATTAGTGATTCTCTCAGTAGTGATTATTAAAACAAACTGATCTGAGCTAAACTTAACTTAAACACTGAAAACTGAACTACACTGTTTTTAATTTACTACAATCTTTTATGTGAAGCTGCTTTGACACAATCACAATGTAAAAGCACTATACAAATAAAGGTGAATTGATTTGAATTGAAATTACTTAAATCACTTTCAATAGTGTTCTATGAAAATTCAAAGGATTTTCTTTAAAATGATACCAAACTTTTGCATTTACACCTCTGCATTTGTTTGAATGTTGTTTGAATTTGAGTTGGCACAATCCAAGCAGAAACCCCTAAATAGCACTTGACTCAAGGAGGTTAAAATGTCTTAAATTGACTGAAATATTATCTTGTAGGCCTAAAATCATTTTTAATGGGTCTTAATTTTCCTTTGTTTATGTAAAGTTACCTAATCGATCTAACACATCCAATCACCAACAAATACATCTGAATAAACAGTCTGTTGTGCATACATTCAGTTTTTAAAGAGATTCTTTATGTTTTTAATCATGTTTAATAGATATTTTGCAAAACATAAATGTATGTAACTAGGGTCTGCTTGTTTTGACACATTATTTTAATATGTACCTAAGAAACAACTAATTAGAATTACAGCTAAATCATATTAGATAGGGCAAGTATGTTTTTTCCCTTGTGTACCATTAAAAAATCTTTAGCGTTCAGCCTTATACAAGTCTGAAATTTCATTGATAAAGGTCTTAAATTTGACTTTGTGAAATCAGAAAAAGCCCTGATGTACAATTTTCCTAATATTTTCCTATTGTATTTTTTCATCTGGAGAAAGTTTTATTTATTCTAGTTTGACTGGAATAAAACGAAATTTTTAAGTTAGAAATTATATAATAAATTATAATAAATTATATAATAAATTAGTCATTAGAAATGAGCTAAAATGTATTAAATATAAATTTATATAAAATTTATTACATTTATATAAATAAATTTATAATTAGTTTAAAAATGTGTAGAAAAACTCCATTTAACAGCACCTGGGAAATATTTGAAAATTAAATTATAAATATTTCATTTCAGTAATTAAAATTAAATACATTTTGCCTTTAACTGTGAACATATATACAGCTTTACATCTTATACAATGATATGTTTCCTCCCAGACCTCAAGGGCCCTGAGGAGGAAATAAAAATGTCGTCCTCTTTCTGGAAATTCTTCCTCTTCCTTTTTAATCTGGGTCATTCTTTTTAAGAAATCTGTTGGTGAAGGAAGTGGAAAAAGAACCAGCTCTGGTAACTCTGGCAAAGGAGGAAGTCAGCTGAGGTGCCCCAAATGCGGAGATCCCTGCACACATGTAGAAACATTTGTTTGTGAGTACTTGAATTACTTGTAGTTAACTTTGTATCATCCATTTTTAATATACAGTTGAAGTCAAAATGATTCGCCCTCCTGTGAATTTTGTTTTCTTTGTGAAATATTTCCCAAATAACGTTTAACAGAGCAAAGAAAGTTTTCACAGTATTTCCTATAATAATTTTTCTTCTGTTGAAAGTTTTATTTGTTTTATTTTGGCTAGAATAAAATCAGCTTTTAATTTAAAACCATTTTAAGGTGAAAATTATTAGCCCCCTTAAGCAAAATTTTCTTCAGTTGTCTACAGAACAAACCATCGGTATACAATGACTTGCCTTATTTCCCTAATTAACCTAGTTAAGCCTTTAAATGTCACTTTAAGCTGAATACTATTATCTTGAAAAATATCTAGTAAACTATTATTTACTCTCATCATGTCAAGGATAAAAGAAATCATTTATAAGAAATTAGTTATTAAAACTATTATGTTTAGAAATGTGTTAGAAAAAAAAACTGAGAAAAAAATATACAGGGGAGCTCAAGTCAGGAGGGCTTATAATTCTGACGTCAATTTGTCTGCTGTATGTGTACTGTGGATTACTCAAGATAATCAGTTTGTTTTATTACTGACCTTGTTTCAAAACACTTCTGATTGCTTTCGGCCTTGTGCACGTTCAAGTAGGCCAGAGTGTTTACTGAACTAACTGTTCAATGCTAAAAATAAATCACACACAACAAGTTGCTTTTTCATCTGCTGGTGCTTTAATTAGTAGCGTGTTTTAAAAGTTGCTTGGCTTAAAGTAAAACATTATTATTGTGGTTAATTTAAATAAAAAATAATTATTTACAATAAAAATATTTAACAACTTCAGAAGCTGTTTGAAATATTTTGTTATTATAAATATTTCACAACAGCTTTTGATGTGAAATACTTTTATTAAAAATTAGATTTATAGATAAAAATATTGTATTTTCAAATATTCTTATTTTAGTTTTATTATAAATGTTATAAATAATAATATCTAAGAAGACAATCATTTTATCTATAAATCTATTTTTAAAAAAAGCATTAAACAAATTCAGAAGCTGTTGTGGAATATTTCCAATATTTAAAAAAATAAATAAAATATTTGAGAATACAATAATTTAATCTATAAGTCTATTTTAAATAACATTTTCAGGAAAGTCAGAAGCATTAATGTCTTGAAAAATGTATAAAATTTCTAATATTTGGAATATTTGAGAAGACAATAATTTATAAATCTATTTCAAATAAAAATAAATCTATTTTAATAAAAATATTTAACAATGTCAGAAGCATTTTATTATTTAATAACATTAAATAAGAGTATTTGAGAATACAATGTTCTTATCTTTAAATCTATTTTAAATGAAAATATTAAACAGATTCAGACGCATGACTGTTGAGAAATATTTACAATAACAAAAATAAGATTATTTGAGATGACAATAATTTTATCTGTTAATCTATTTTACAATTTTATTACTAGAGTTTGTGCCTGTGTGGATTTAAAAATAAATAATATATATAAACTAGAGCACTACTGTGCTTCACTCAAAAAGATATATTTGGTTAAATCACAAACACTACAGGACATAAAAAGTGTTATAAGCAAATGAGGTTATGCCCTTTAAAGCATAAAACACTCATAAATAAAATATTATTTCTTTTTGCAGCATCAACACGGTTTGTGAAATGTGAGAAATGCCACCACTTCTTCGTCGTGCTGTCAGAGACGGACACTAAAAAGAGTCTGAGTAAAGACCCGGAGTCTGCGGCAGAAGCTGTCAAGTTGGCTTTCCAACAGAAACCTCCTCCACCACCTAAAAAGGTGTCTATTCATTTAATAACATTAGTAGAAGTAGTCATCTTTTAGTCCATTCATATGTTAATTTGGACAAAAGTGACAGCTAAATGACTAAATGTAAATATTTAGCTGCCGCTCATCTGTGTTGTAGGTTGTAACGTCTCCGCTTTTGTTTTCTCGCAGATCTTTGCTTATCTTGATAAGTATGTTGTGGGTCAGGACCATGCTAAGAAGGTATTGTCAGTGGCAGTGTACAATCATTATAAACGCATCTACAACAACATGCCGGCGGGCTCCAGGCAGCAGCAGGTGGAGGTGGAGAAACAGGCCTCGCTCACTCCTCGAGGTTGGTCCTGCAGAGTGTGTGTGTTTGTGTAGAAACTGCATAGACTGTAGTATCAGGTGGTTTTCACTAAACGAGTCATATGTAAGAGACTCAGAGCCATTTGGAATTTAATCTATTAGTTGCATGATACTAATTTAATTGAGTGCTCTTGGAAAGCCTGGTTTCGCTCATATCAACTGAAAGTAAAATGAAGAAGTGACTCGTTGGTAAAATACAAAAACATATGCATCATATGTTACACACACACGGTAAAGTATCAGGAGTAACAGATGCATTTTGATGCAGTAGAGCATGTGCGCAACAGAGTTTACGCTTTGAATTGGCATGCTGTAAGGGAGAGTTCACCCAAAAAATGACAACTATCTTATCTTTTATTCTCCCTCATGTGGTTTTAATCCGTTATAAGTTTCTTTCTTCTGCTGAACACAAAAAAGCCATAATCTTCAATAGTTGCATAATTCAAAAATAGTATAAAAGTCGATGTGTGCCAGCTAAAAGCGTTTTTTAATGTATATTTTGTGTTCAGTGAAGAGTAATTAAATAATGACAGAATAAAATATTTTGGGTGAACTATCCTTTAAAATGATGGAAAATCGTATCTAAATTTATTAACTGAAGTAATATTCTAACTATTTTAATGTTTTTAAATGCTAACTAGGTCGCTGTCTACAGAAGCATCTCATTTTTTTATGCTTGGAAAGATGGTTTGCAGAGTACGTTCTCTAAATGCTGCCAGGTCCACTTATTATGAGTAAATATATTGATTAAAAGTATGAGATCCCACAAGGCTCAGTTTGTCCCTTGCTTTTTACATTATATATGCTACTGCTAGGCGATATCATGTTAAAGAATGGAATTCATTTCCACTGTTATGCCGATGACGCACAACTATATATTTTCTCACAACCTGATGAATTC